AACCCTCTCTTAAAAGCCAAATGCTGACCCCCCTTTTTCTTATTTCTTTTTAATTACCTCTCTTTCAATGTTCCAAGCAACTTGAGACCAAAACCTGTACGCAGGTATCTTGTGATCACCTGTTCGTATAAAAACTAAACACAAATCCTCACCAAAATGCAACAAAAATCCAAGCTAGAAAAAGTAATAAAAACGGAAAGATGAGCCCACCTAAAATTCAAAGGTGACCAATGTCTACCTTTTGTCGAAAAAAAAATTGTCTGGTACCTAATTGCCACGCGTTTTCCTCCCCCCAACTAATAATCTTATTGGGTATCACCAGAATTGTCTACGTCCGTTCCCCCCTACCAATCCGACCAGGGTACCTCCCTTAACTCAAGTTCAAATTTCGATATCCACTTATTGTAACCAACGCGTGTTAATGTCTAATATAACTAAGTCAACGATGTCGACTAATTAGTTACTCTAATTTTCCCCGTTTTTACTTCGTCAGTGTCCCAAGACCCTTGTCCTGAGAGTACTATCCCAAGGCTACTGTCCCAAGGCTAGTGTCCCAAGACTAGTGTCCCAAGACTACTGTCCCAAGGCTAGTGTCCCAAGACTAGTGTCCCAAGACTACTGTCCCAAGGCTAGTGTCCCAAGGCTAGTGTCCCAAGGATACTGTCCCAAGGCTAGTGCCCCAAGCCTAGTGTCCCAAGACTAGTGTCCCAAGGCTAGTGCCCCAAGCCTAGTGTCCCAAGACTACTGTCCCAAGGCTTAGTGTCCCAAGGCTAGTGTCCCAAGACTACTGTCCCAAGGCTTAGTGTCCCAAGGCTAGTGTCCCAAGACTACTGTCCCAAGGCTTAGTGTCCCAAGGCTAGTGTCCCAAGACTACTGTCCCAAGGCTAGTGTCCCAAGACTACTGTCCCAAGACTACTATCCCAAGGCTAGTGTCCCAAGACTACTGTCCCAAGGCTAGTGTCCCAAGACTAGTGTCCCAAGACTACTGTCCCAAGGCTAGTGTCCCAAGGATACTGTCCCAAGGCTAGTGCCCCAAGCCTAGTGTCCCAAGACTAGTGTCCCAAGGCTACTGTCCCAAGGCTAGTGTCCCAAGACTAGTGTCCCAAGACTACTGTCCCAAGGCTAGTGTCCCAAGACTAGTGTCCCAAGACTACTGTCCCAAGGCTAGTGTCCCAAGGCTAGTGTCCCAAGGATACTGTCCCAAGGCTAGTGCCCCAAGCCTAGTGTCCCAAGACTAGTGTCCCAAGGCTAGTGCCCCAAGCCTAGTGTCCCAAGACTACTGTCCCAAGGCTTAGTGTCCCAAGGCTAGTGTCCCAAGACTACTGTCCCAAGGCTTAGTGTCCCAAGGCTAGTGTCCCAAGACTACTGTCCCAAGGCTAGTGTCCCAAGACTACTGTCCCAAGACTACTATCCCAAGGCTAGTGTCCCAAGACTACTGTCCCAAGACCCTTGTCCCAAGACCCTTGTCCCAAGACCACTGTCCCAAGACCACTGTCCCAAGACCCTGTCCCAAGACCCTTGTCCCAAGACCACTGTCCCAAGACCACTGTCCCAAGACCACTGTCCCAAGACTGTATCAAGACTGTTCTGGTCCAACACTGTCCCAGGACTGCACTGTCCCAAGACTATCCCCAGACTGCTCTGTCCCAAGACTTCTTTGGCACTGTCCCAAGACTGTTGACAAGTGTCTGAGCGGTGGGACCTCTTTCTTCTTCGTTATGGGGATTTCTTGATTCACTGTACCTTGTACCACCACTCAAGCTCTAGTAAAATTTTCCCAAAAACCCTCTCTTAAAAGCCAAATGCTGACCCCCCTTTTTCTTATTTCTTTTTAATTACCTCTCTTTCAATGTTCCAAGCAACTTGAGACCAAAACCTGTACGCAGGTATCTTGTGATCACCTGTTCGTATAAAAACTAAACACAAATCCTCACCAAAATGCAACAAAAATCCAAGCTAGAAAAAGTAATAAAAACGGAAAGATGAGCCCACCTAAAATTCAAAGGTGACCAATGTCTACCTTTTGTCGAAAAAAAAATTGTCTGGTACCTAATTGCCACGCGTTTTCCTCCCCCCAACTAATAATCTTATTGGGTATCACCAGAATTGTCTACGTCCGTTCCCCCCTACCAATCCGACCAGGGTACCTCCCTTAACTCAAGTTCAAATTTCGATATCCACTTATTGTAACCAACGCGTGTTAATGTCTAATATAACTAAGTCAACGATGTCGACTAATTAGTTACTCTAATTTTCCCCGTTTTTACAATTTACAACCGCCAACCTCTAACTTAACCAGCCCCCCTTCTAACCTCCCCCCTTTTTAGCCCCCCTTCTAACCTCCCCCCTTTTTAGCCCCCCTTCTTAAGCCTAAAGTTACCTTAAGCGCCGGGTGCTAAACCTCTCAAGAGAAAACCGTAGACCTGTCTCCAGGCCTGCTCAAGTAAAAACGTTTCTCAAAACCGGGGGATATCGCTTATCCAATTTTACACTCATTTCCTATAATGTAATGTGAATTTTAACGATACCCGTTCTGCCCAACTTGAGAACTCGAGAACTGCCAAATCCTTCTTGGCTACTTTCCCACTCGACTGGTCACCTCTTCCAGTCCAGTCTCCTATTGGTTCAGCTCAAGTACTCCTGAACCACTTTCCCACTCGGCTGGTCACCTCTTCCAGTCAAGTCTCCTATTGGTTCAGTTCAAGTGCTCCTGAACCACTTTCCCACTCGGCTGGTCACCTCTTCCAGTCAAGTCTCCTATTGGTTCAGCTCAAGTGTTCCTGAACCACTTTCCCAATCGGCTGGTCACCTCTTCCAGTCAAGTCTCCTATTGGTTCAGCTAAGTTCCAAGCTATCTAAAAACCCTTGACAACGCCCCACACTCGGGCACTTTATTGAGGTTACTGGGTTAAATTGCTAGGTTGATCGAAACGATCGAGCTTGTAAAACAGTATGGGTATACTATTTAATTAATATAAAGGTTTGATCCAACTGATCTGGTGTCAAAGTCACTGTCTTTTTTCGTTTTATGGTTTTTGTTCCTTTTTCTATTCTTTTTTTTTGTTTTTGTTTTGCTTTTTGTCTTTTTGCTCCTGTTTTTGTCCCCCTAGTTGCCCCCCTTTACTCGGTTAGCTAAGCCTCGTTCGGAGAGCGTACCAGGAAGTTTTCTCGAGTTTTCTTAAAAAGCTATCACGGTACAACCTGAAGGTTTGCACGTTCCTGTCGAACCGCACCGCCGGTTCTCTAGAATGGGCATTCAGCCCGAAGCTGTCTCAAGTAGGTTCGACTCCGTAGTCTTGATGTCGTAAACACCCAGGAGCGCCATAAAAACACTATGTAACATTCGTCTACTGCAGTCACACATGAGGCTTAAGAAAAATAGGCCCTATAACCATTGGCTCAAGAGTCAGGGACACTATCTCTTGTGTTTTTCTACCTCAAATCAGTCGGAGCCAATTCGGTTCGTTTGTGACATGAGACTACGACCCGTTACAGCTTAAAGGCTACTACTAAAATATCCCCCCACTCTAGAATTAAGAACGTCCCCATACTTAGGTCTCTAGATACCCAAAATACATGAACGCCGTTAAAAACCGGGTCGGAACAATCCGTTAAGTTACTTTTTATTAGACAGTGGAACTTTGATCCATTTCAGATGGATCAACCGAAAACTCGCCTTGCCTCAACATAACAATTATAAAACACACTCTAGAAATTTAAATTGGTACTCACATTGTAGCACGCTCAAGAATTGGGAGTAATTAAGTCGGTAAGCAACTCAAGAAATAAATAATGTGACTAAATGAGTTTAATGTTTGTCAGTTTCAACAACAGGAATAAGTTTGTACTCTAGAATGCAGTTTTATGTGGACCATTGGGACACTCAAGCTGTCCACTTTTCCACCGAAGGTTCACTCTGGTCCAGTTCGAATAGTTGACCAGTTGGATAATTGTCCAGTTCTCAGGAACACTCTGTCTTCTATTTCAAATAGGACAGCTCTACTCTAGATTATTATTGTCTCGGAAATTGCGAATGGCAATTTCCTAGTGATTTATCTTGCGACTTTCCCGCGATTGTCACTCGATTGTTCTGATTTCTCTTTTTCGGTTTTCAGTTATCGCGAGAAAATCGTGCATGACAGGCTCCATTCGAATTTTTGAAAAATTAAATTTCACTCCAAAATCAAGTGTTTTTTGCTTCTTTCAAGGTCAAACTTCCAAATATGACCGACTGGCTCAGGCAGTGCAGGACTTAATTTTCTGAAATCGCTTTCTAAGCTGATAAACCTTATTGGAGATGGCAAAATACCCGAACCCCTAAGACTTTTTTTTGGCGCAAAGATTATCGCCCTCATAAAGATAGACGGAGGGTTGAGACCTATTACTATAGGCAACACGCTGAGACGTATTGCGTCTAAATGCGCTGGAAGCACGGCCCTCTCCGAGCGGCAAAATTTTTTCGGAAACGTTCAGGTAGGATGCGGTACCAAACGAGGAGCAGAAAGAGCTGCGCACTCGTTTCGAAACCCTATTGAACGCGACGACAATCCAAAATGCTCTGTTCTTTTAAAACTAGATTGTAAGAATGCCTTTAACTCTCTAAATAGAGAAACAATGCTGAATCATGTTTATTCAAATCGCCCCGAATTGTATAATTACACCCATTGCGCTTATGGTAGACCTAGTTACCTTTTTTACGCAAGTTCTGTCATAATGTCAGAAGACGCAACTCAGCAAGGTGATCCTGAAGCCACACCCCTTTTTGCGGAAACAATTCATACACTAGTCAAACAGTTGGAGTCAAAAATTAACATCTGTTATTTAGATGATGGAAACTTAGATATATATATGTTGCACGCATATATATGCGACGACGAAAAACGACAGGAAAATGAAAAATATTCAAGAAAGACAAGCGAATTGACTTAAACTCATGACTACGAAAACTTGGAAATGTTAATCTTGACAATTGTTATTAGCTCTTGAAACAAAACGAGGACACTTATTAAATAGAAAAACTTGAGATAAAACAGGTTTCACATATTTCGAGTTCACAATCCCTGTCAGGAAGAGTTTTCGACTGGAAGAGTCCTCGCTCGCAAGCAAAACCTGTCTCATCCTCATTAGTACTTGCCAAAATGACGAACCTGAATCTAGCGTATTAAAAAAAAATGTAAGATCTTATTTGGTAAGCTCTCGTCTATTCTGGATATGGGATAGGCATATTTCACCGTGACTGATTTCAGAGGTGTGGATCTTTTACCAGACCACAATACAAGAACTCAATTATCTGACGTTTTTGAATTTTGGCATCACCCGTGTCAAAATTTTCGTGGTAGTAATCAATATTTATACCGTATGTGGCGTAAAGCTCTGACTAATATCTTCAATTTCCAAATACGCTATCAATCCTTTTCTAGGAAAACATGGCGACAATTCTGAATTTAGCGAGTACGAAAACGGATCAAGCTTTTGATTCCAAAGAAGAAGGAACTCTCTCCATTCAAACAAATGACATTCACATACGTATCCAACAACGAAGTGGACGCAAAACTTTAACGACAATTCAAGGTAAAGAATATATAACATACCGACAGCTGTTTCATTTTACTGTTTTAAGGTGCGTTCTTCAGGGATAGTTTCTTGTTTCATTGGATATATTTTTATTAGACGAAACTCTGAAATTAAATTTTATTTGTACTAATATTGCCTTTTGCCAGATCAGAAAATCAAATTGTCAATCGGCGAGTGCGTAAAGCTCCCCTTTATAGCTTACTAAAAAATAAGTCAAAGTAATTCTCGGTCTTATGAGGAACGACTTATCATTGTGAGTCTTTTTTGTGAGAATAAAGTCTTTTTCTAGTTGCTAAGTTTTTTCCGAGATGTACATTTTTGGTATTTATGCGATTGTTTTTGTTCCGACCTCTACACCATCCCCAGGGGGAAAAGATTTATGGGCTAGGGTGATTTTTAAAATTATAATTACCCTTGCGATAAGCAAGGGGATTGCAATCGGTTACTAGATGTATTTCCCGTTCATTTACAGAGTGGTCAATTTTGTAGGAATAATAAGTTTCGAGACATGCTCAATCTCTTGAAATATCAAATGAAACTGCCTTCATTGAAGTAGGTGGAGTCTGTTTAGTTACTAATCTTTTTTCAGATAGTTACTCGTTTTTTTTTTATTTTTGAGGATCACAGGGGGATAAGTTAGTGAGGCACCTCCTAGAGTGGTGAAGTCCTTTGCGGCGGGGCTCGCAAGATCGGATCTACCCCGGTGTATCATGGGGAATTGGTCTGAGCTTTTGGGCTGTCGGGCGGGTATTGTATTTCCTATTGCCTGCGCGATGCATTGGATCACGTGCTTCCAATATTCACCGACGGTTCATCAAACGAGACCATTTCTGCCAACGTCACACGACGCATTGCACAATGCTCAAAGACGTAAGTGCGAACCTTGGAGAGCCTTGCTTCGGCAAACGTAAACCTTGGGGGTCACTCGACATTTTTGCATTGCGCTTGCCATGTTTGGATCCGGTTTTGGAAACCACCAAACTTGTGTCATTAGTAGTCTCACAGGTCTTCGGATAGAGACGACTATTGTGACAACTTTCTGCGGGAAACTGTGTTCTACAGAATCCCCTGATGATTGCGAAAGCTGTTAGTGGAAAATGGGCTTTCCCGAAGTTGCCATGAATGGTAACCGCCGCAATGCTTTTAGTAACTCTATTTATGATGGCCATTTATGAGGACTCACGAGTATACTGAGGACTCAATTTTTTTCAGATTGATATTTGAATTTTTGATTTTTTTTCGGACTCGTTTTTGGTTTTCGGCCTAGTTTCTGTCGGTTCATTTTCCGTTTTTAATGGTACCAATAAAGTCATTTTTAGACGGTTTGGTTCATTAGAAGAAAGGGTTCAAAAGAAGAAAATAATTGCGGATATTTTTCTTGTGCAAGAAACATTGACTTTGCGTGAAAACTTAGCTCTACTTTGCTCAAAAACTACCCTCCAAAATCAGGGTTATAAAAAAATTAAAAAATATGTGGGAATCTTCTCAATGTAAGCAGCTGCGCCCTGTTTTTTGCGAAAAATTAGTTATAATTCTCGGAGAAGTCAAGTTTTGATATTTTGTCGGAAACTTTCGATTTTTCTCAAAAATTACCCTGCCAAGTCTAAGGCTATTGGTTCTGTCGAGAAACCCGGTTGTGGGAATTCTCTCTGCGTTAACGGCTACACCATACTTCAAGTAGAAAAAATGGCTTCTCGGAAAAGTAAAAATTTTGAGCTGTCCCTTTTTTAGAAATATTTTGACTGATCTCAACAACTACCCTGCCAATGTTATGATATTTCTCATTATTGCAGTTTTGCACCTATATCAGGAGCCTTTTGTAAATCAAATAACGAAAAATTTAGATTTTTTTGGGCTAACCTTTTATCTATCTATTATATAATTAAATGCGGGCTTCACTGTCTCGCCATGTTTAAGCTTTTTCAACGTATTATTTTTGCATGTTTAACAAAAGAATTTTTTCACGTTTAAGCTATATCCGTATTTTGCAATCGTTAAAAGTTTTTTGGTTTTTCCTGCTTGACTTCAATGTTTAAATTCCTGTCGTTGAAATTGTGAGTGTACTCTTAGGAGTTGTGAAGCTTGCCTCTGAATATGACTGCTCAAATTCTTGTTGTTTTCAAGATTTGAACCTTTTTGAGGCTTTTTCAAGATTTTTCAAAAAATTTAGATTTAAAAAATTTAACAAATTTTTAAGTTCCCATCTATTTGACTCCAAATATGACTGCTCATATCCGTGTAGTTTTCGAGGTATGATGTTTTTTGTGATTTTTTGAATTTAGAATTTCACAGCCCTGTAATTGAGAACTGGGAAAGTACTCTCAAAGGTTGTGAGGCTTGTATCCGAATATGATTGCTGAAATTTTTAGAGTTTTCCAGATATGACGTTTTTTGTGATTTTTTTTTTTCAAAAATTTCACCACATTAAACTCAAATTAATAACGTTTAAAGAAATTGAATTTTTCAACTCTGTAGTTGGGTACTGTCAGTGGTACAACGTCAAGTCTTTGTAGTTTTTGAGATATGACGTTGTTTATACTTTTAAAAAATTTGTAGAAACTTTTTATATGAATTTTCTCATAATTTGAATTTCTCAAAGCTGTAGTTGGGTACTGTGAGAGTACTCTCAGGAGTTGCAAATCTCGCGTTAAAATGCGACTGCTCAATGTCTTTTAGTTTCCAAGGTGTGACGTGTTTTTTATGTCATTTTGAATAAAAGAATTTAGATAAAAAAACTTCAGAGTTTCATGGTTTTTCTAACTTTGAATTGAAAAAAACTTGAATAAAAAAATTTTTCTTCCAAATTTGAAATTACCAGTACAACCCTGTAATTGGGGGCTGTCAGAGTACACTCAAAAGATGCAGATTTTATTTCCTACATATGCGGTTTTTTATGAGTTGTTAACTATTAGAATCCTTGTAGTTTTCGAGATATGACGTTTTTAGTTATTTTTCAAAAAAATTTCAGGAAACTCGAGCGAAAACTTTTTTCATCAACATTTGAAATTCTTAATCCTCTAGTTGGTTGCTATCAGAGTACTCTCAAGTGTTGCGAACCTTGCCTCCAAAATTCTTAAAGTTTTCAAGATATGACGTTTTTTGTGATTGTTTCAAAGTTATTCAGAAAACTTCAATATCATTTTTCAAAATTTGAAATTCCTAGTCCTGTATTTGGGGTAGGATGCCGTCAAGGTACTCGTAGGGGTTGCGAATCTTGCCTCCAAATATGACTCTTCAAATCCTTGTAGTTTTCGAGATATGAGGTTTTTTAAATGATTTTTCCAAAATTTTCAATAAATTTAGTTTTACAAAATTCTCAAAAATTAAGAAGTCTAACCCTATAATTGGGTGCTTCCAGGGTACTCTCAGGAGTTGTAAGTCATGCCTCCAAATATGACTACTCAAATATTTGTAGTTTTTGAGATTTGACGTTTTCCAGATTTGACGCAAAATTGGAATTAAAAAAAATAATTTACAAAAATTGGAATTACCAACCCTGTAATTGTCAGAGTACACTAAAAGCCTGCAAATCTTGTTTCCAATATATGCATTTTTTCATGAGTTGTCAAAAATTCTCAGCACCGGAAGTGATTACACGCTAATTTTTTAATTAATTGTGCTCGCAAGATTCTGCTACTTGCTCAGCTTTTGGCTCTGTTTTATTTTGGGGTTGATTTGTTATTATGATAGTTACGAACGTACGTTTTTGCTTTTTAAATTTCATTCAATGAAGTTTTGTTTTAGGTTTGTCTGAAAAATGGGATATGCCTAAGATGGTGAGGTACATCAAAAAGGTTTTTGCCTGCAATGGAACAGTTATCAATCACCAAGAATATGGACAAGTGATCCAACTGCAAGGAGACAAAAGAAAAGATATGCACATGTTTCTTACCCAAGGAGGTTTTGCTTCACATGAGCAAGTCAAAGTGCATGGATTTTAAATTAATAATTGTTTTTGAAAATGATATGGATATGCAATTATCATAACATGTCGTTATCGTACAGTTTGTGTAATCAACAAAGCTTCTAATTTGTGGTTTTTAATTACTTACCAAGTCTTGCTATTGAGATGAGAAAATCGAAGTCAAGAATCTTTCAATTTTTCTAAATAAAAATTGCCCAAAAAAGCTGCTGACCATATTCAATCGTTTTCAGATTATTATAATGTTTTTGGCGAATCAACAATTTCGCTCTCTTATATGCAGTAACGTTCCCTTAGAGTACAATAATGATAACGACCTGTATAATCATTTCGCAAAATACGGAAATGTTCAAGCTGTGGTACCTGCTCCTACTAAAGGACGTGCTAAAGTTGTATTTGAAATGGCCCATGAAGCTATGCATGCGAAGCAAAGTGGGGCTAAAATTGACATGTCACTGCCTCCAATGCGACTATTTTTTGCAGACGATAACAGAGTTTCACGTGTTGCTTATAACGAACACGAAAAAGGACGAGATGACTCGGATATTGAGCGGATCCGAGATTCACGTGATCAAGTACGTGTAAACAGATCACGAAGAGTGAACTCGACCGAAAGTTTGTCAGAGCATGAACCATTGACCATTAGAACTCACCTTAACCAAGCGCGCCGAGCTATTTCTTTGCATCAGCCGAGAAATACCACAGCTTTTCAAACCACTTTGAGCGAAGCAGAGTCATTTGCCTCTTCGAGATTCAAGAAAATCAATTCTCCAAAAAGTCCTTTAGGAGGCGAAATTACGAAAACGAAAAGTAGCTTAGTTGATTCGAATAGGAAAGCGGGTGACAAACTTCTGCGTAGAGCTCGTTCAAATCAATTAAAGTCTACTTCAGTATTTGTCAAGGTCAATCGGTCAAATATGGTGGACAACGCATTACCAGATAATGAACCTCGACAGACTGTCTTTGGCAAAGTTGAACCACTAGGAGCCTCCTCAGTATTTGGAAAGCTAAAGGAGACGTCTGGCGCCACGTTTGCGTTTGGCCTTGGTGGATTGTCAGCGCCTGGAAGTAAAATATTTGAAAATTTCGCAGTTAATACCAATGAATCTATTACGAGTATAGCTCCCCCGAGGCTTAAAAGATCTCTACACGATGATAATGAGGGTGAAAAATCTATCAAATCAGAATTGGCTCCTTCCAAAAAATTTGCCGGATCACAAAAAGTCAAAATGGACACAGAAGTTGTAACTAATGTTGGCCAATTGTCGTTGGCTGCCAAAATTGAAAAACTGAAAACACGTGACGAGGGGTTGCGGAAAACAACGCTAAGTGGCGCAAAGGGAAATATTCTTGTCGGAACTCTAGATCAAATGTGCCCAGAGTTGGAAATGTATGTTCGGCAGTCTACAAATCGAGTTGATGAATACGAACTCGGAGCAGACGGGGAACCCGATTACTCAAAGTTTATCAAGGAGTACACGAGATCTTCGGCAGATAAAGAAATTCCGCTCCCACATGAAGTTAGATCTATAAATGGACTCATTATTTCCATGGATTACCTTATGGATACTGTCATGAACCTGTATGATTCCAAGGAGCGTCTGCGTTCTTTCAATAGAGGAAATTGGTTCAATTTTCTCTGGAACAGAACTAGAAGCATTCGCAATGACATAACAGTTCAAAACTTACATACTGTCAAATCAGCGGAACTCATTGAAAAAATTACACGATTTCACATTGTTTGTGGATATGTGCTTTGTGATGCCGATTATCATGAATTTGACCCGAAAGTAAACAATGAACATTTCAGCAAGTCAATGCAAACTCTAAAGCATATGTACTATGATTTGTCGCGAAAGAACATAGCATGTAAAAATGAGGCTGAATTCCGAGCTTATGAGCTGCTAAAGCACCTGGACAGTCCTGGTACTGCACTGGTAGAAGCTGCAAAGTATGCTCCGAGCGTGCTAAATGACCCAACGTTTCAGTTGTCCTTGAAAATTCACAGAGCTTACACGCAAGGTAATTTCGTCAGATTTCTAAGGTTATACAAAAAAGAGGCTACATTTTTGATGTCCTGCATTTTACATCCGTGTCTGACAGAAACGCGGAATGCAATTTTGCGTTGCCTTTCCATGTCTTGTGGAACTTCCAAAAATATTTATTCCGGTATTCAAATCCAGCAGTTGCTTTCGTTTAGCGCGACTGAGCAGACATTGGCTTTCTGTCAACAATTTGGTTTTTCACTCGTTGAAAAAACTTTGGTGGAAGTAAGAAAACTTTCTTCTGACGAGGAACTACCTAGTGGGGATATTTTGAATAACAAAGAACCAGAAATGGTTGAAGTGAAACAGAAATTGAGTTTTGGAGAAATCGTGAACGGATCGGAGCCGATAGGCAGTAGCTATAAGCAGCTGCTCGCTGGCAAATTTATTTCCAGATCGGTAGTTTCTGTCGAAGTTGATGAAGCTCCGGTAGATGAACCCGATAATCATGCTGTCGACTTTCTTGAAAATGATTTAAATGCAAGTGAGACCTCAATCGATGAAGATAGTTTGAATTCTTTAGCAGGAGATTTTTACGAAGAAATTCTAACTGAGGTGCTTCAAGATCAAATAAAGGATGCTCACAGAGAAATTGTAACGAAGGCTATTGTCCTAAGAGATTTAATGATGCAATTACATGCGAAGATAGAAACTGAATTGGTCCAAGAAATGTCAATTGAAATTTTGACCGAAGTCACGTACGAATCGAGAAAATCTATTGTGGATAGTTCTACTATAGTATATGCTGAACTTCTCGATGATGTTGTGTCGTCCGAGTGTGAAATTGTTTGTCGTACTGAAGTTGATAATCAAAAACGAGAAAATCTAATAAGCGATATAGCAAACGATGTTTTTAGCGAAGTGGAAATTGGGGTCGTGAAAGATCTTGTTCGCGATGTTGCTGACGAAATTGTCAAGAGCGAGTATGAAAGAGCGTCAGACATTTTGTTACTTCGAAAGTACTATAAACTGTGGAAACTTCAAATGGGTAAAAGCAAGCAGGACCGGATATACAGGGAAAGTTTTCCGCCCAAAATTGGATCATGGCAGGTTGCCGAAAAGATCCCCGTAGTTAATGCTTCGGAAAAGTTGAACTGTTTCTCAAACTTAAGCGAAGCTCAGCGATGTTTGAACGAAGTTACTGCTATTGAAATAAGTACACCATTTTCAACTGATCAGCTTCTAACTGAATGTATATCGAAATTCGTTCATTTGGCGATTATCAACGTTTCTCCAGCTTGTGAATTCAGTGAATGGTTTATTGAAAAGTTAAGTGGCAAAAGAACGTACAATGAAAAAAGTATGTTACTCGAAGCTGAAAATAAGGTGATTCGGTTTGAAAAGTCTTCAATGCTGTCAAATATTTGCATTTCCTGGACAACAGTTGGGAACTCGCAAAAAGCTCTTGAAGAATATAACCCTAATTTTGTCCTTATTCTGGACCCGATGGGTGTTATCGAAGAATCCTGGGTTCAAAACACGAGTGAGAATAACGAAGAAGTTTTCACGACACTATATGTAACAACATCAGATTACAATTTTTCGAATGCTGAGAATGACCATCTGAATAAATTTGTGTTTGATTGTAGTGATCTACCGAGTTTTTACAGCTCAAGTAGACATTTTCTGACACTAACGCAAAGATGTATAAAAGATTGCACATCGATCTACCCAATACCAAGGCCCATTTCTTTACGCGGTTTTATATCTTCATCGGTTAAGGAATGGTTTTCTTTGTTTTTATCACACAGTTACTTGAAAGGGTTGAATGAAGCCTTTAAAGAACAAATGACAATAGAATGGTTAATGGAGTTATACGACTCATTAGTTAATCAAATGGAGTCTTTTATTACCAGCAATCAAATTGTTTTCCCGCTTTCAATTTTCAAAACAGCTATTTCCGAAGCTTCTGAAGATGAAGTGAAAAGCTTATTTAAGTCTTTGAAAATTTTCCCTATGAACCTTTTACCGCTCGTGAACAGTTGTAATACGTGGATTGAGTGTCTTGACATACTTGACAAGTTAATTCAAAGTATCTACGCTTTTGAAGATGCTCAAAATTTTGCTTCTAAACTGGAAAAATTGCTGATGGTTGAATTTTCTCAAAGCGCTGAAAAAATTGTGGAATCCGCCCAAAATTTTCCATGGGTGTCAGTTTTGTGTGAGTTAATTGCTCACAATCTGGACTTCAGTTTTAATGGTCTGGGAGAGCGTAATTTGTTTCTAACTTGTCCAGAATCAGATTTTGTGTTTGATAGACCCAAGTGTTGGCATTTGTTCATGAACTCAGTTTTGTCTTTTAAAAAGGTACTTTCTTACACTGTTAATGGAACTGTAGTGCTTATTAAATAATTTCTTTCCTCTTATTTTGACTATGTGTTTCAGTTAAATCTCTGAAAATTTTTTTCTACGTACCATTCTTGGGTCAGATGAGATTTTTGACTACTAGAACTCCTAGACTACTCATTGATCAAAGCATTACTTCAAAAAAGTTGAAAAGACCCTAGAAGATTCTGCCGAAGTTGGAACAGATTTACACTTCATGTCATCATTCCGTTGAAGTTGTACCAAAAACGAAGTTATAATTAGTAAAACAGTACAGTTTTTTTACTTTTCAGTTGAAAATGTCAATGCTGAGATCGTTGAGTGGGGTTTCGCGTGCAGCTGGCGGCAGACTTCTCCCCAGATCATCCTCCTCTATCGGTCAGACCAGGAGTGCATCATCCACAGATGACATGAAGAACAAACAGCCTACCATGAAGGGGTCGAATGGGTTCACATCTCAGTATGCTGTAGTGGACCACACGTTTGATGCTGTCGTCGTCGGAGCAGGTATGTTTCTTCAGCTTACAAAAAAGAGTTTTTTTTTTTTTCAGCTTTCTGAACCGGCAAAAATAAGTGCATATTGTCCTAAACGAGTGACAAAACTCGGATTACATTGCTGACTGTAAATGCGTGTCTAAATGATAAATCAGAGATATATTTTTGTATTATACATGAACTTTTCCGTGAAATGTTTGGCTGAAAAGAGGCCCGACCGAGAAAGATTTCACCTTATTCTCACTTGATGTGTTTTTAGGCGGGGCTGGTCTGAGGGCTGCATTTGGTCTGGCGAACAAGGGATTCAAGACAGCAGTGGTGACCAAACTATTTCCCACCCGCAGTCACACTGTGGCAGCACAGGGGGGAATAAATGCTGCTCTTGGCAATATGGAGCCAGATGACTGGAGGTGGCACTTCTACGACACAGTCAAAGGTGAGCGAGTGCTTACTAGAATCTTGAAGTTAACAGCATATGACGATAAAATATATATATTTTTTCTGATTAACGAATGTATGAACACCACATGTTTATGTATATATCATCCAGGTTTAGTCATTCGAAATATAAGTTAATCGGCTGTTCAAATTGAAAAAATTGCGAGTTTCATCAAAATTATTGCTTTGCTCTTTGCAGATCAGGTGAAAACTTATCAATAATCACTTGGTAATCTATATCTGCAGACTTCAATCAATTATTGAGCTATTTAAACTTCATTTTTTTTCGGTGTGTTCAGAAAATAAGAGACTAAGTGTGAATTTAAGTGGGAATAGAAGAAATTATTTTTCCGACCATTTGGAAAATGGGGAGGAACTTTGTATTCAGGTGTGTTTTAGTTTTTTTTTTCTGTTTTCCACGCAAAATTAGCTTCCACAAAAAATCATGGAGAGAGAGAGAGAGAGAGAGTTGAGTGATATATCATATTAAAGCCCTTTCAGTAGTGTTTGAACGACATTAAAAAAACTTCAAAAAAGTTTTCGATATATATATAAGATTCTTAATATATAAGCTTGCTATAGCTTATTTAAATAGCTTCAAAGATTAATATAGCTTAATAGCTAAAAAAACTGAGTTTTACTGAAGGAAAGTTAGTTTTTATTTTGTATTTTAGCCCTTTTTGGTATCAAAAATTCAAAAAAACTGCAAAAAAATAATTTTGAAATTTTGTTTTTGATTCTTTTTGTTTTTCTAATCATTTTTATACAAAAATTGTTTTCCAGTTTGCGTATTTTGCTAAGACTGTCGAAAATTTCTAAGCTCTAGTTTTTGTTGAGATCCTTTTATCACACCACGCCGAAAAACTACCCTAGTTAAAAAAAATTGTTGTATTTTTTAAGACGCTATCCTTGTTTCGTTTTGCATATGAATAGGATTTGATTGTTTCTGTTTTTCTCAGGCTCTGACTGGTTGGGAGACCAAGACTCGATCATGTACATGACTCAAAATGCACCCGAGTCAGTGGTGGAACTGGAGAATTATGGCATGCCCTTCAGCCGGACCCAGGATGGCAAGATCTACCAGAGGGCATTTGGGGGACAGAGTTACGATTACGGGAAGGGAGGCCAGGCACACAGATGTTGCTGTGTCAGCGACAGAACAGGTTAGGCTGCCTGCACCGTATGTACTGACTTGTGTGTCTAAAGGCATCAAGTTAACATGCTTTCACTAAATAGATCAAGTAAAGATTTTTTTTCTATTCGATTGTTTAATTCAGTGGGGGTATCAAAAAAGATATTTTTAATTAGGACAACGTAATTTAACTTGTATCTGCTCAATTTGCCGCCAGAGTTTTATGCTTCTCTTTTTACACTAACAAGCTTTAGCGATCGTAGTGTAATATTACGACTATTCTACTTTTTCCAGCCTAAGTCGCAAACGTAGTTCGCTTTACGGCATTTTGATAGCTTGTTCTTTGACATTTGATTAGTTGTGTTTCAAACTACAGTACAATAATGAAAACTCAATTTCAGAAAATTTCCAACTCACTATATCTCCAACTCAATAGAATTTTTTTTAAATGCATAATTTGGCTTGATGTTTTCCAATTTATTACATGCAAAGTTAGTGTGGGCGCCTTAAGTTTAGGATATTTCAAATTTATGCAAAGTTAATGTCTTTTTATATCTGGTACCATTTTTGCTGATGGCATTCGCAATTTATTAACATATGTAGCTGCTTTATTTGTGGATAGTGTTAGTAAATTGTCAAGGGGGCAGATGCGATGACAGGGACTCTAAATTTCCTGTTCGTGGGATCGAGTTTTCATGGCTCATTTTCACCCTTTTTATTTTACTTTTTGAGCTATTTTTCTGTCGTTTTCTCGCTAGTGTCTGCGAAGCGCAGCTTTACCTGCGTCAAGTTAGATGCAATAAATCTAATCAACATAGAAAACATGTTATAATCTATTACAAAGCGTCTTATCTATTAAGTGACAATTTTTTAATGTACCAGGTCACAGTATGTTGCACACACTTTACGGCCAGTCTCTGCGCTACGACTGCAACTACTTCATCGAGTACTTCGCGCTGGACTTGATCATCGAGGACGGAGTGTGTAAGGGCATTGTGGCTCTGTGTCTGGAGGATGGATCCATCCATCGGTTCAAGGCTAAGAATACTGTGTTGGCCACTGGAGGATATGGAAGAGCATACTTCTCATGCACTTCGGCCCATACTTGCACAGGTAATGTAATTTTGAATGACTTTTCTGAGATGATTTCATGAGAAGTTTGACATCAGTTTGCCTGTCTATGAGCTGGAGGAAATCGGGTCAATATTAAAGAGCAAAGGAAGTTTGAAAAAGCATCAAAAAAGATTCAGATAAATGTTCCAGAAAGCGCTCCAGGAAGTTGTAATACCATTTTGATATCTTGAGGTAAAGCTACAATTGGCGAACAAAAGTGAAAGTTGCTCAAATTTTTGTGCATTTCATTCTTCTAGTGATCAAATTCCTGTAATTCTACCGTTAAAATTTCTGTTCTAGGTGATGGATGTGCAATGTACACTCGTGCAGGGGGTCCCCAACAAGACATGGAGTTTGTTCAGTTCCATCCCACCGGTATCTACGGGGCAGGCTGTCTCATCACAGAAGGGTGCAGAGGAGAGGGTGGGTACCTGTTGAATTCGGAGGGAGAGAGATTCATGGAGAGGTACGCGCCCAATGCGAAGGATCTGGCGTCCAGGGATGTAGTGAGTCGATCTATGACTCTGGAAATCATGGAAGGTGGGTAAATTTTTGTGCATAGTTTTCTAGGTCATCGTTTAGTGCAGTTATTCAAGATTTAACTGCTTTTTGTGAGACTAGTGCATAAAGTTAATTTTGTTAGGATCGAAATAAAGAGTTTTTTGCCGTTGCTTCGCTTGTTTGTCAAGTGCAGCTTCATTTTTGTGTAAGTGAATAATGGTTAAGTTATTTGAGCGAATGGTCATGGCAATCTCAAATACATATTTCAGGAAGGGGAGTGGGACCTTCAAAGGATCACATTTACTTGCAATTATCCCATCTACCAGCTGACATTCTGAAGAAGCGTCTGCCGGGAATCAGTGAGACTGCCAAGATCTTCGCAGGAGTGGACGTCACAAGGGAACCCATCCCGGTTCTACCCACTGTCCACTACAACATGGGAGGCACACCCACCAACTACAAAGGACAGGTTAGTTGATATTGTTCATTTCTTGTATATATTGGTCATTTTGCAAATAGTCAATTAACTTGGGAAATGAAAAGTTGTATTTTGACAGGGTTAGTTACATGGAGCTTCATTAGGAAGTCTTACTACAAGAGCTTCGATGCATTAAACAGAATTATGATAGTCGATGTCTACATTTTGAGAATTTGACTAATGATTTGAGTTGATGAATGATTACCGTATGTCTCTATCCGTAATGCGAGTCCATACATGAGAGAATATGTTTCTAATTTTCACTAGCTCCATGAGGCACAAGCTTAAATAGTAAGATTTACCTAGTATGCATAATTGTTTTTACAGGTAATTGACTACAAGAACGGTAAAGATGTGGTAGTTGAAGGTCTGTATGCAGCAGGGGAGGCAGCATGTGCCTCAGTTCATGGCGCTAACAGACTAGGCGCCAACTCACTACTCGATCTGGTCGTGTTCGGAAGGGCTTGTGCACACTTCATCTCAGAGACCAGCAAGCCAGGTAATAATCCAGTGATTTATGTCATATTGATATCTGAAAAAATCGATTAGTATTGGTCAGATTTGAGAAAAATGTAGCTAAAATTTCTTGAATTTTGTAGAATGAGAAAATTTTTTGATTGAAAAATGAAAAATAATCAATTCGTTGCTGAGCTAATAAAAATTATACCTGTATCCAATGAAAGAAATATAAGAATCAAAATTGAAAGAATTTAAAAAGTAATTTTTTGTAACTAAAACAATTGTATATATTCAGAAATAGTTAAAAAATTAATCATGATTTAGAATAGGTTACCAATGAGAAAATTAGTTTGATGGGATATCTTGGGTTAAATTCTTCACATTCCTCAATTAATTTGACCATTCAGGAGACGCAGTTGCAGACTTTGCAAGTGATGCTGGCGAGAAGAGTGTGGAGAATATAGACAAGATCAGACATGCGAATGGGTCCACTCCCACTAGTGAGTTGAGGAGTGAGATGCAGAAGGTCATGCAGAATCACGGGGCAGTCTTTAGGACCCAGAAGACACTCGAGGAGGGCGTGAAGAAGATCGACCAGTGCTACCAAGGTATTTACGCTTGCGATTAGCAAGCTTATCAAATCGGAATATTGACTTTTTCTGGCTAACAACTAATTGAACAACATCAGTTGCTGCTATTGTGCGGAATATGCTGATATGCTGCTGACATGTTCAATTAAATGAAAATTCAAAATTAACTACGGGGTACTAGCTCCTGGTACATGCTATATATAGAACGCAAACCATTGTATTTATAAATAACGAGTTTCGATATTATTTTTCTGCCTATGATTTTTCGGCTTCAAGGATGTCGACTTAAGTTCTGTCGGTTTATTTTCCAAATTATTTAGTAGTCCACTTTGCATGCACTGCTTAATTAGCTATCGTGTATCCTATGAGGGCGTTACATATGATTTTGTTTCCTTAAATTATCCGGTAGTTTTTATTAAATCGATAACATTTTGGCACCAATATTTGAATGCCCCAGGTCAACCGAACTTGACTCTTCGAACATTTTCAATTAGTTTAAAAAACATGAAACAAAATATATATTTTAAAAAAATACTTTTTTCCACTTGTTCAATTGTAATATCTTTTGAAGTTTTGTTTGCTAATTATTGAGCGTCATGGTGCTTTCATCCTACAGTTGTTGTTTCGCAAGTAATGCGAAGCTCAGCTTCGCCTCTGTGTTTAAATGTTATTTATTCAACACAGTTGTAGAAATGACAAACGTCCATCATAAAGTTCTTGTTGAACGTTCTCATATTTACAAACCGTCCTAATGCTAAACGTTGGTTATTCTGGCTGTAGTTAATTGTTATTCCGACCATTGAAAATGGGCAGGAACTTTGTATTTAGTTATTACTTTTTTTTTGTTTTTCACGCAAAATCAGGTACCACAAATAATCATCGGACTGGGTTGAGTGATATATCATATTAAAACCCTTTCAGTTGTGATTCGAACTTTCGAAAAATTTCAAAAAACGTTTATTTCGATCAAATAAAAGGATGATAATTTGTTCTATTGGCCATTTAGGCTAAATAAAACCTAATTTTTCCAAAGGGAAACTAGTTTCCGAAGCTATATTTACACTTTCCCGGCCAATTTTTTTTTAATTAGAAAAGTTTCGAAACTTGATCTGATTTTTTTCTCTTTTTTGTTTGTTATCAAAAGCAAAGAACGTAGTGAAGACTCTTATATATGTCTTGTGGTTTTTTTCAGGAAAAAGTCTTAAAATATTGATGCACTTAGGTATAATGCTCTTTTTGAGTTCAAATAAAATTCATCTGCTGAAAGTGACGTAAATAGCACTCTCCAAATACGAACGTGAACAATTTCTAGTTTCGAAAGTGGAATTTTCCTGCGTAACAAGTTTTACTCTATTTTTTTTGTAGATAAGGTGACATGGACTTCGGAAAAATACTTTTTAAAATTTTTACCTTTGTTTTTAGAAAATTGCCAAAAACTAAACAGCTAAATCTGATTTTATGGGTTCAATCTTAAAATCCGGGTGCAGAAATCTTCAATTTAAAGATCAGGGTATGGAGAGCTGATGCTATTCCCATACTTTAGTAGAGGAAAGATTATTGATATAAGAAAAGTCAAATTTTTGGTCTATTTTTGGAATCTTGTTCTTTTTTTCGATAACTACGCGGCGAAATCTGAAATAAAGGCTTCAATGGCAAGAGCAATGTGTAATTTTTTTCCTTTAGATAAGCGGTCAATCCCCTACTTCAGCATATAAACTCAAGGTTTGGCAAAAAGCCCATTTTTTTAATTTTGAAAATTACGATTTTCCGTATCAGTAAAATATTTAGTTTAAAAAAATTAAGTACAGGTAGAACCAGCATTAGCGGGTCCAATAGTTTGCTTCCAAGCGTACGTGGCGCTGATGCGAGGACCTAGAACTCTTAATCAACAGTTCGGATATTCAAATCTGCAACATTTAAGTAGTTTTTTTTGGTCGAATTTTTGCTGCATAACAATGGCAGTTTGATAGAAATTGTAGCTGCTTCATTGTAGGCTAGTGATAGTAAAAAAACAAGCGGTCATGGAGCAGATATGAGAACGTGATACTCTTGATTCACAATGATTTTTGTTTCAAGATGTATTTGAATCTTTTCCTTATTTCCCTTTGTTTTGCCTTTGTATAAATCTTTCTTGCATTTTCCTCGCTTGTGTTTGCGAGGAAACACAAGCGAGGAATTTCCCAGCGGAATAAAAACTTCACCTATTGATCCAGCTTTCTCAAGATGGGTTCATGTTATCAAAAAAGCGCCAATCATAAATTTTTCTAGAAATTCAAAGAGCTTAAAGGGCATCTATTTGTTTCTTTGAAATTCGAAAGCTGAGATTTTTTCAACGAAATAAGTGTTTTTTTTGCGTTCATTACTCTTTTCCAATCTTCGATTGGCCATGTTTCTTTTTCTGAAGACAACTGTTGTCGATTATACCTAATTTAATAATTTTTTATGCGCTTGTATTGTTTTATCATCATAACACATGCAGACAACGATACTTATTTGAAGAACGTCTATTGTAGTTTTTGTGAATATGGTTGAACATTTTGTGCTTCTTGCACAGCACCCGACTATCATTGTTATCTTTTTAAAATATATTATCTTAGGTCTGAAGGACTTGAAAGTGTCCGACAGAGGTATCATCTGGAACACTGACCTGGTGGAGACACTGGAGCTGCAGAACCTCATGCTCCTCTCGTCACAGACCCTCTACTCGGCCGAGGCCAGGAAGGAGTCCAGAGGTGCACATGCCAGGGACGACTTCCCAGGTTCAAATCGTGTATTGTCATAAAACTATTCAATGCTTTCTAGTTGCAGCGTCCAATTATTAGCCTTGATACATTATCTTAAATAAAGATACAAACGTTCTGATGCGAACATTTTCAGTTGTGCAGGATTGTCTTTTTTCTACAGAGATCATAAGATTCAACTGAAAGTTTTGTAAAAAAAAACTTGTTTTGTTTTCGCTGACAGACCGAATTGACGAATATGACTACTCTAAACCCGTCGATGGCCAGACCAAAATACCATTTGAGAAGCACTGGAGGAAACACACTCTGACGTACCAGGACCCGGAGTCAGGCAAGGTCACTATGGAATACCGACCTGTGATTGACTTGACCTTGGACGAGAAGGAATGCCCCACTATCCCACCGAAGATCAGATCCTACTAAGGATGATTAATATAACTGACTGAAAAACATGATCAATGAATGAGACTTATTCTACTTTCGCTCTGAGAGTTCATAGATGAGATTACCTCAGCTAACGTGTAAATGAATAGTTGATTGAATAGAGTTAGATATAAAAAATAATCCTTCTTTGAATCGATTATTTAATCCAAACGTTCCGATAAAAACTTTGAAACACAAGGAGGAACCGTTTTTTCTACTGTTTCAGATACAACATAATGTCTGGAACTTGATTTCGTTAGCAACGCAGTTATATCTATTGACTAAAGAGCTGCATTTGACTTGTATTTTTGCGCAATGGGGGATACAGAAGAAAGCAATGGTAGCTCGCAGCCAGCTGAAGTTGCGATGGACTCGAATCCAAGTGAGCAGAATGCTCCAACTCCTCTAGCCACCCAGACCAGCAGGCCTGCTCTGGATGCGGATGAAATGAGGAGGAGGCGACTGGCGAAAATAGGCGGAACTACACCTGCAGTAAGTGCAATTCGGGTCTGCCGTTTTGGAGATTTCGTCTAATTTGAAACTAGGAGAGCTGGTTGCTGTGCAATTAGCACATGTTCCAACTACGCTCATTTGCAGTTAAAATTATATTATGAAGAAAAACAAGACAGAATATATATTTTAAATTTTTGTTTAGATATGAGCAGGGAATGAATTGGATAATAAGCTACAAGACTAGATTATAATAGTCAAGATTACTTTGGATTAATTAGGTTTCCAGGACTTCCGATTTTTTGGAATCCGCATTATGGTATTTTTGGAATTAAAAAAGAACTTAAGAGCCAGTATTCTGAAAATCGGTTAATGTTATCAAAAAGCGATTATAAATATTCATGAGCTTTAAGGTGATATGTTTTTTTTTCTTTAAAAATTTGAAGTTTTTAAACGTCAATCATTTTTTGGCCTTGAGTTCATTGGTACTGTTCCAATTTTCTATAACCTTTGTTAATGGTGCAGTCAAAAAACTATAGCTGATTTCACGAATTTCGAAGTCTTTTTGGATGAAGCCAACTTGTCGCTCAATTCCATATTTTTCATTGGGCTTCCAAAACAACGTTTGTTGACAATTTACGTTCTCAAAAAGAAACGAACAATTTTGAAAACATTTGAATACAAAGCAAGTTTGCTAACGAAGTTTTTTTTGACAAATTTTCAGTGCTGAATTGCTGTCATTTGCTCTACTTTGTTTTAATGCTTTTAAAAGTGTTTTGCATCGAGACCGCCTCAGCTTTTTCACGTTCTGCAACTTTTTTTCTGCGCTTTTAGTCTTAACTTTTTGTTTTAGACACAACCTGCTAAATCTGCCGTGCTCAACCCGGTAACGGATTTGTCGCAGTCCATCATCCAACCAGTAGCCAAACTGCCACGCAACCGAACAGAAACAACGCAATCTCTCAGGACTACCTCCGTTCCAAAAATGGCCACACCTAATTGCGAAGAATCTATGCTTAAAATTGCACGATCGGTTTGCGGGCCGAGTGTCAAGTTTGAGACAAGTATGACCGAAGATATATTTTCGGCTAATCCTGCTTCGGTATTAGGAAGTTTAATTTTGGAATCGTGTCAAAGAGTTTATACAGAAACGAGTAGAGAAAACGATACGCTTAAAAGGGCAGCTGGTTCTAGTTCTAATGTGAAATCATACAGCTGCCTGAAATTTCTTTTTGAACTCCATCAAAGTGCTATTCGAAAAAAGAACCAACTGAAAGGAATGAATGCTGACGAAAGTTTGAAGAAAAAAATTGAACTTGTGGCGTATATTGAAAAAGCTTCGCTTCGCTTTTCGGTGCTAGTCCTCAATAATTATTTTGCAAAGGATGCGGACTCATTTTGCGACCCTTGCAATTCCGTGTTGTATCACCTCATAGTGGAAAACAACTCAGCGTGGGACTTCATGGTGGCAATTTGTTCAATTGTTAAAACAGAGTTTCCTGAACAAGTTTTCACCGAAGTTTTCAGCTCGCTTCTGCAGACCATTTCGTTCAAAATTTCAGTAGATAGTTCGGTCAATAATCCATCTTCATCGAACGCGCTTGATATGATGTGCAACCTATTAGAGATGCAGGTGGATGTCCTGTCTGAGAAAGTGGTCTGCAAACCATTCGTGGAGTTGACTGTGAAGCAGGAAAACTGGTTACCGGCGCCTTTGACGGCAGCTGAAGGACGGGAAATCCAGAGGCTCTCCTTTTTGGGTCCTTTTCTAAGTGTGTCTTGTTTGAACGAAGACGACCCTCTTTTTGCAACGTCGGTGGTTCCCGGAGGCCTAGAAGATTTTAAAGATCTGGTCATCTTCAAAAAGATCCAACAGATTGTTTACCAGCTAAGGTAAGAAAAAAATTTTCTCTGTGAGAAAGCGTTTTTTGAAATTGCTTTTAAGCATTTATCAATGAAAAATGAAGCCTTCTATTTGTTTGAATATGGGTTCGTCTTTTGTCCTAAAATTTACAAGTGTTTGAATCGTGAATTTACAAGTGTTTGAGCCCAACTAGCAGAATTTTGCAGCATCCTTTCTGACTGATGAATATTTATATTTTTCTTATGGTGCCTTATAATGCTGAATTTTTATATTGCAAGTGTGGTAAAAGTGCAAGTTTTTGTCAGATTTCTCCAAGAATTAAGATTTGTTGGTTAGAACGAAGCAGCACCTAATAGTACGTACTCTTCTGGTGAATCAATCGACACGTGCAAATACACTTGACCTGTTGGCCAACTTCCTCACTCGCAACATGAAGAGAGCCCAGTTCCAGCCGGACTCATCCACGTTGGCAACTCATGGATTCATGCTCAACTTCCTCTACATATTGTGCGAACTGGAGACGAAAGTAAGTTATTAGCGTTTAGTAGTCCAAGTAAACCCAAAATGTAATTAAATGAGAAGGAAATTTAAAAAAGAGCTCCTATTTCCGACCCTAAACTAAGTTTTTCGTCTTATTTAATTCGGAGGTTACTTTTCAATTTCGATTGATGGACGATCAAGTTTAAACCTATTCATAAGCTGCTCATTGAAAATAACTTTTTCCAAATATTTCAATCTTTTTCAATAATTTTTACACTGAGCGATCATCCCTATCTCTGCTCAGCGTTTGAGCACTTAAAGAAGAGCTTATTTAAATCTTCATTTTTCATCTCAGGGTTTGCATTTTATGACATGGTTACAGGTGACGTTGGACAAAGTTGATGCGAACTATCTGGTGCATCCCAGAAGTAGATTCGATTTGTCCAACGAGAGTCTCCTCAGGATGTCTTCTCCTGAGTTGGCCGAGTACCGCGACTCCATCAAGGACGACGGAACTGCTCCCAGATTCCCCACTGAGTGTTTCTTCTTCACCCTCTACGGAAGCCACCTCTGCTTCATTCCTGTCATCAAACACTACACCAATGTGAGTTCCGTATATCCATGATTGCTTAACAGTGAATGAATGAAGTTGTTGTCACTTATTTTGATCTTGATGATTTTTTATGTGTAAAAGGACAGTGATTTTCACGTTCATAGGTATTGATGATTTTTTAGGAGAAAGTCGTAAATTGCTCATTGCTCTAATAACTACAGAAGTGCATAATCATACATATTAATGCATTTATACATGCACTTAAGTATATATGCACTTTTTGAGTTCAATTCAACTTCATTTGATTTTTCAATTCAATTCAACTTTAAAAAGGGCAAATTGCGCTCTCGAATTACGAAAGCGGAAAAGATGCAAAAAATTGCGCAATCGAAATACAAAAGCGGAAATGATGCGAAAAATTGCGCTCTCGAATTACGAAAGCGGAAATGATGCGAATAAAAATTTTAACCCTTGATCCTTTTTTTATTTAAAGAAATCGAAGTTAATATAATCAGTTCTTGAAATTCAAACAGCTTTAACCAGATATATTTTTTTCTTCAAAATTGGAAAATTTTCAGTCAACATTTTTCGGTTTTCTTGTTTCTCTGACAATTTAAACTCGCAAAATAAGTGTCTTGTAATTGGCAACTAGACTTTTTTCCGCAGTTAACGTTTCTTACAAATTTTCAATTAGCTTTATTATTGAATCTTTGCACATGCGAAAGCAAGTGTCTTGTAGTTGGGAACTAGGACCTTTTCCCCTAAACGACTTTTTAACACATCTTAATTGCTTTACTATTGAAGCTTTTTAACTTTCAGGCTCGTTCCCACTTCACTTCGTCTTGAGGTAACGCCGTTGACTTTGTACCCTGAGGTCAGGGGTGAGTCCCGGATGGACCTTGTTTTTTTTTCTGTATCTATGCAGCAATTAAAATTTTTCTAGCAAAAAATTAATTGCCGTATTTTCCTATGTCTAATAATGTTTTGTCGGCTTGGTTGCCAAATCAGGGATTTTGCTTGGGCTCTAAGCATTTTTCATTGTAGTTGCAAGCAAAACTGTTATACAATGTATTTTTAGGGGGACCTGAGTAATTTTTGAGGCCACTTGTGTATGCTCAAAAATTGTCGGCTTTGTTTCGTACCGTTGCTAATTGTATAATCAAGCATTTGGAATTTTTGCTTAAATTTTTATTTTATTGAGACTTGCGAAAAATTCAGTTTTGGTAATTTTTCGACTTTTTATGTTTTTCATGTTTGTTTTATCGCAAGTGATGCGAAGCTTCACTTCGCCTCTGTGTAACAATTTCCAAATTCTTCCGTACTTGGTCTAAATAAAACGCCTAAAATCTCACCCTAAAATCTGGGATCAAATCCCGGTCGGACCTTGTGCTTTTTTCTGCATGTATAAATTGATTTGTTCGATTTTTGTTTATTTGCTCAAATTTGTCGGCTTTGTTGCCACATCACGGATTTTCTTGTGCAGTAAGCAAGTATTAAGCTAGTTGCAGGTGTTGTTATTAGTAGATTAAGATAATTCTTGGAGCTTTTTAAACACTTAAAATCAATTTTTTGGATCAGCTGATGGTTGCTCAAAGAATGTCTGCCCTTCAAAAGAGAGTATCAATGGAAGGACACCCTCCTCACCTAGTCTCTTTTTACTTTTACTTTAACCCTTTGTCTACAGCCTTCGAAAAAGTGCAGAGTCCATTTTTTTAAATTACACATTTTGTCGCACATCAGTATTACAAATTCAAAAATGTCAAACACATACCTCGAGCCTTAGCTGGGCTCCTAGTTGTCTTTATTCGTTTGTGCTGTTTTACAAGCTCCGATTCGTCTTTGTGTCACACTTGCAAAAGTAGGGGTAATGCAACCTGATGATTGATTTAATCCTGTAAAAAAATTGTTCTTTTTTGCGGGACTCATCGCCATAGCTGAACAGATACAGGCAGAATTTTTGCCTTTCGAATACCCCTCTATTCGAAGTTCATTTCTTAATGAAATCAATGAATGCATTGAAAACATTTAATTTGGTCGTGATGATTTTATTTTTTGTTTTTTTCTTGAAAAGTTGCGCCAACTTTGATTTTTTGCAGTTTATGACTTTGATTTCTTTTCAAGTTCAATTCAACTTCATCACTTAATAAAAGAAAGCAAATTACACTCTCCAGTAAGGAAAAGAAAGCTTGAAATTTCAATTTAAGGTATCCCAACGGAACAAAAATTTACCAATTCATCTGGTTTTTAATTGGCTATTTAAAAAAAAAGAATGAATCATAAAATAGTCGTGACATCTAGAGAGCTATTCTGTTTTACTTGATATCATTGACTCTGTTTGTTGGCTATGTTTTTACTGGTTTTAGATTACCGACTTCGATTTTGTATTTTGAAGAGCCGATGAGCATAGTTCAGACTCTAATTTAGTTCGCAATGTTTTTTTTGTTTAGTTTTTTTTTTTCATAAAGTTTTAGGCTCAAATTTATTTTTTCGCAGTTTGACTTTGGAGTTTTTTAAGTGTAGTTCATTTCGTTTGTTTAAAGCAAACCAAACTCCACTATCGAACAGCAAAAGTGAAAGGTCACCAAAAACGATCTACTTCGAGGTTCGAAATTTTCAGATTTCCAAGCGAAATAAAAATTTAATTATTAATCCAGCTTTCTCTGATTGGGTTAATTGAATCAAAAAATTATCCATGATAAGTTGTTTTTAAAAATTCAAAGGGATTCAAAGGCATCTAATTTTTTCTCTTTACTTGCGTTCATTGACTTATTCTGGAAAAGTCTTTAAATTTCTTCATGCTCCAAATTTGTTTTTTTTTTCGCGATTTGACCTTGATTGTTTTTTAAGTTCAGTTAAAAGGAAACCAAACACCACTATCGAACGTGATCTAACGAAAAACGTGATCTACTTCTAGCGTCTCATTCTTTTTCCATTGGTTTCGACGTCTGCTATATCGGCTTAGTTGCCTCCAATTGCGGTTTTTGCAGGGCAAAAAATCTTCATGATTATAGATTTTAATTGGCCTCTGTGTACATTTTTGTTCACGATCAACTTAGGTTTTTTCGCTTGACTTCTGATATCTAAAATTTACACCCCTAATTTTGCTTTTTTTTGCGTGAATTTCGATTGCAAAAATAAAGGCAGATTTTGTTCTATATTTACGAATGTGCAATGGCGCAAAAACAGGAATGGTTTCTAGTTTGAAAATATATTTTAGTTTTCATAGATTCTAGAAAAATAAAAAAAGTTATCTGTTGATCCAGTTTTTCTCTGTGTGGGTTACTTCTATCAAAAAGTCAATTAAAAAAAGATTGATGAAATTCAATGAGCTTTAAAGTGATGTGTAATTTTTTTTTGAAATACGAAAGCTGAAAATTGTTTCATTAATTTTCAATATTTTAAATTTCTGTCTTATTCATTGACAATTTACTTTGCGTCTGTTGGCTATGTTTATATCAACAACCTTAATTCAAAAGAGAAGCAGGAAAACCAGCAAAAAGCTTATCGAACACAATTCAACTATATAAACTCACAAATAGTCTTTCTATTTGAGGAACCATGTCTGTTTTTTCATGGAAATTTATTTGAATGAAGCGTAGAAAAAGATTAATCATACTCATTGTCATTGTCAAAGACGTTCAAGAACGGCATAAATAGGTTGAAATTGCAGTGAAAACTTATTTACTTAGTTGTGCTGATAGCTATTTTAATATTCGCTTTAAGATATTTATGAAATGTAGTCACACTGATATTTTGTAGGTGATGCGAACTTACAAGCAGATGAAGGCAGTTTTGACAGAGGCGGAGAAACAGCAGGACCGTATGTCCAACTCATTTGTGCAGAACAGACTGCGTGAGTTGAGACAACAGCTGGAGAGCTACTACAGGAGTGCAGTTACTCTGGGTGCGGTGTTAGCAGAGGAGAATCTTTTGGGACTCATGTTCCACTACTACTCCAAGGTAGATAAAACTCTAGAAACAGTACTTTACTTTTTGATACCCAGCAACTTGTATGCCAGTCGGATCATTAGAAAACGAAAGTATAAACGATAGGTCCCGCAATGTTTGAGAAAAGGACTCCCTCTAAACGATATTCAATTAACTCCCTCGTTTTCTCCGACAATTGGTAACCAATCTGTTTATAAGGATCCCCAGTTTCATGCTTGTAATAAGGCCCAGTATTTGTTGGGCATTAAAGGAATGAAAGAGATATGGATTCTGGACCAGAGTTTCTTATCCCAGATGCTCTCTGGTATTCTCGTACGATAGCTATGTTGACCGCATGTAGCCGTAAGGGTAGGAGTAATCAGTTAAATTGACCTGGCGAAGCTGCGAATTTCTTCTGGTGGTTATTATGATCAAACAACTTCAAATTTAGGTCATGGATCTGATCTTGTCAATGGTATCCGCCCCTGACTCCTCGAAAGGACTTTTCGGCCAAGTCAAGACACCAACTTTGCCCTTAGCTGAAGAAGTGCCCAAATCATTCGCTTCTTTTCCCGCTTTTGTCATTGAAGATATCGCGGATTACATCACCTACGTTGTCAGGTGAGATATTTCTCAGTCATTTAAAAATAGAACAATACTTTTATTTGTAACGAAAACTATAAAAATGATGTAATCTTCGCAATCATAAGCTTACAAACTATTACGGCTATAATGAAGACTTGAGGAATGATTTAGTTGAGCATGAAAATAAGCTGCATCTAATGAATTATTAATGATCCTTTCTTATGCAGTGTGTAATAGTATCTTGTGCTCTATGTGAATTTTTTTTGAGAATAATGATGTTTTTGCCAACCTGAATACATTTTTCTTCTGATAGGAATGCCCCCAAAACCGTTTCCTCAGACCAGAACAGTTCTCGCTCTCTCGTGAACTTCCTGGTGACGTTTGCCTGCAGTCCCAACTACATATCGAATCCCTACCTTGTGGCCAAAGTGGTTGAGATCATTTTCCTGCTGAATCCTGGCAACTCACAATCGCCTAATACGTTAGTATTCGCTGTTTATTTGAAACAAGATTTTCCATCAAATTTAGGCAGGGAAAGTCCAAACCATTATACGAGAATTTTTTCAACTGAGACAGAGCGGGTTATGATGGTTTGTAGTTTAAATGCTGGTCCACAAAAAGTAACGCGAATTTTTATTTCGATCTTAGATGCTGCCATCCATAACAAAAACACTGTTCGTTAAGAATGGTATTGCCAATGTCTTGAGAAACAACCATAGACTTCGTCGTGTCAACGAAAAATCCCGGCGAACATTTTTCGGATTTAACATATGATAAACAACATCTACTTGCAAATTGGGCTACAAGTGTAAACAATTTTTTTTGGGTTAGGCTCTACCAGCAAATTCTGGACCACAAAGAGGCCATAGACCACTTCGCGCCCAGTCTCATCCACTTCTACGTGGCCATAGAGTCCACTGGGAGCAGCAACGAGTTCTACGACAAATTCTCTATCAGATATCACTTGACCATTATTTTCATGTCCATGTGGAACAACCCCACACACAAGGTAAAAGGGTTGAGCACAATTGCAACTTCTTTTTTCCTGTTTATCACTGGTATTTTATAGTTACAATGGTAATTACAGCTCCCGGTACTGCGTGGTCTTAAAATCAAACTGAAGAACCAAATAGAATTCAGAATACTAACTTTGTCTTTCGTTTGGTAATCTTTCAAAGTTATCTGTTGCATGTCCTTAAAAAAGTTGTTTGCGTCTAGTGTGGCTGAGCCTGATTGTAATGATCAAATGCTTACGTTTTTGGTTGTTGGGATTGTATCAGAGGCGGAATTGATAGCCTTGATCCGATACATGCTGTGATTTTTCCAATTATGTTCCCATACCCTGAAGTGTTGCCAATCAGAGGCTCAAAACGGAGTATAGTGGGAAATAAACGGATAGTTCGCGGCGAAATTTCAACTTGTGCAGTTCAATAGATGTCATTGAGTCTCTTATGTTTTTTTTCTAGGCGTGTATGGTGCACACTTTGAACAGTGGGGGAGAAATTGTGAGATTTGTGAATTTACTCATCAATGACACGACCTTCCTTCTAGATGAGAGTCTGGAATGCATCAAGCGAATTCATGAAACACAGCAATTGATGAAAAATACAACAGTTAGTTTGTTGAAAATTCCATTAATTAACAGCGAACTTGAGGTTGTTCTTTTAAAAAGTTGTGTTATCAAGCTGTTTAATGAAATACTACTAATGAAAATTACTCCTATGATCTGTCTAACTCTATAAGTAAATCTTTAAATTACGTTTTTTGACCGAGTCTTCGAGCTGGTACAAGCCTGGAAGTAATGGAAGTTAATAGGATCTAAACCATAATGTGATGTATTAAGGAGTGGAATAAACTTTCCAAAGATCAACAAGGTGCCAAAAAGAAGAAACTGCACGAAGACGAAAGCCAGTGTCGCAGCTACATGACTCTAGTGAATGAGACCCTGAACATGTTCCATTATCTCACGAGGGATGTGCAGAAGCCGTTTCTGCTTCCCGAGATCATCGGCCGACTGGCCGCCATGCTCAATTGCTATCTGTCTCAACTTGTGGGACCGAACTACAAAGAACTTAACATAGGTCAGATCATATTTTCAAAATTCCAAAATCAAGCAATTCATCAATTCAAATTTGTGAATTGTGCGGCTGAAAGTTTTAAAACGCATAAATCTGCAACCGAATTCTATTGAACAGGAAAAATAATGTTTTATATTAATTGGGAGAACGAATTATTTAAAGTTATGCAAATACTGGATTCAAATTCCAGACTATGTTTTAGAGAATCGAGAGAAATACGGATTCCAACCGAAAGCATTGCTGGACAACATCACTGACTTATATCTGCACCTCGATAGTAAGGAGCTGGTTGAGGCGATTGCCGCCGATGACAGGTTTGATTGCTTTTTAAGGATCTACTTAACAATTAACTACTTAAGGGGGTGGGTTAACAATTATCTATTTAAGAGAATGGGTGTGGGTTAATTTTCAAGTAGATAAAGTTTTCGAGAAGTATTCGACCAATCAGAAGGCAGCACAGTTCGAATTTTAAATACAACGTTCTAGTGCTAATTTACTGCTTTTATTTATAGTCGTTGGCGATTCTTTTGTAGATTAGTAGATACCATAGGAGGAAGGGGGTTGAAATGAACTTTTGTCAAACAAATCTGGAATACCCTCAGGTGCTTAATTATTGGAGGGATCATAATTTTAGAGTGGGGGTCTGATTTGCGACCATCAATTCAGTTATCAGGGGTTTCCGATAGTTAAGCACCTGATAGTAATGTGAAATTGTATAAATGAGAATATCATGGCTAATTTTGAGCACATTTTTGTTTCCTTTTTGCATGACGACTTTTCCGATTAATTATTGCGTATTTATGCTGGAAGTTTTTGTAATTCGAATGAATTTATAATTCGTAATTTTTTGGCAGGTCTTATCGGGAAGAAATCTTTGTGAGTGCGGAGGAGACACTGAGGAGAGTGGGTCTGAAGACTGGTTCTGAACTAGAGAGATTCAGAAGGATGGCCAGTGAGGCCAAACAGTGCTATCTGGACAACATCCAGATGGAGGAGGACTTCGAGGATGCCCCAGATCACTATAGAGATCCCATCACACAGGTCACTATAAGTTAACTAGCTCGAGAAGAGTAAATCATTCAAGGTGAAAGTTTATTGGTAGCCATGTAGCGATTGGAAAATGGAGAAGTTATCCATTTTGTGTGCCTTCGGATTATTGAAGATCCATTATTAAGAGTAATGAACGTAGTTCACAACTATATAGGTCGTGATGATTTTTTTTCTTTCGTATTTTACAAAAAGTTTTAAAATTTGTTCTCGCTCAAATTAATTTTTCCGTGATTTGAGTTTTGATTTCTTTTTCAGTTCATTTCCTTTATTGAAAGGAAGACACACTCCCTTGCCGAACAGCGAAAGCGTAAAGGTCTCGAAAAACGTAATCTACTTTAGTTTCGAAAGTGGAGTTTAATTATCAGATTTCCCAGCGAAATAAAAACTTTTCGAAAAACAAGTTTCCTTGCGTTCATTACTCTTTTTCAACTGTCAGTTGGCTATGTTCTTAAATATTTGTGGACACCTTCTGACCGTAGCTTAGCAACTACTTTAATTGTAGTTAGGACAATGACGCAACCTACAGCAGTAGTTTTATGTACAGTGTGTTTCAGGGGTGGTGTAACGATTAAATTTAAAGGAGAACAAGACTGCTTGTATATTAGGGCGAAGCCCTGAATGTTCCGACCGACTGTCCATTAATTCATATCGAATAGTTTTTGAGAAAAGAAAATATTGAAAACCTATAAACTTTGGACAATATCAAAGTGAAATGTTGAGTCGTGTGAAATTAATAATAATAAATTGTTTCCAGAGTTAAGAGTTATTTATAAAAATTTATAAATACAAATTGGAATCAGTTGGGAGGACATCATTAAGCCAGCACGGCCCGTTTTCAGGTGTCTCACTAAGCGGAGAACAAAAAAATAGTTGAGTTCTTCGATCCAATGCAATGGACCTTGTACCGGTAAACATTTATTAAACGTAAAACCTCTTTATTCGCACCTTGAAACCATTCTCTATATAAAAAAATGATTTTATTTTTTGTTTTCTTGGGTAGTCTTTTCCACCCATAACCTAGAAAACACAGAAACAAAATCTACATATTGAGCAAAAAGGAATGCCCAATAAAACCGTATTTCCTAGAATGAAACTATCCAAAAATTTGATTAAAGCTATTCAATTGAAACCGAGAAGCACCATTCGAGAATGCGACCGATCCGATTAGCTAGCCTCAATTCAATTTGGAACGATTTTGTTGTGCGGGATAATAAATCGCATAACGCTCTCAGCAATATGAATAAATTCTTCAAAGCGCCCAGAATTTAGTCCAGAACTTGGTCAATTTGGCAATTTTCAAACCCCAGAACAAAAAATAATCTGAGATGAAATATGTATTTCAGGAAGTCAATATCTTGAATGAGGTATAAAAAATTTTTGTTGAAAACTATTTCGATCGGCGAAAGTTGACTGAATAAAAAAACACACCGAGCATAAATATTCCCTTTTCTTCGAAAGTCGGAACAAAAACTATACCGCTATTGAGAGGCAGCCCTGAATTAAAGTGATTGTTTCGTCATTGTCACTTTGATTGAATCAGTTTCAATCGTGACGCGTGTAACTGTTTCAGGCTCTGATGACTGACCCAGTTCGACTTCCGAGCGGCAAAGTGATGGACAGGTCAGTCCTTAGCAGAATTCTCCTAGACAGTGCCATTGACCCCTTCAGTCGCCAGCCACTCTCCCAAGACAGCATCGAGGAGTGTCCGGAACTGAAACTGGAGATAGACAACTGGAAGAAGAACAGAGTCAGTCAGAAATAGATGTAAATTGAAGAATATAATTTGAATCAACAGTGAAGAAAAATGGAGTCAGTTGAAATTTGAACGGACAGCAGCAGAACATCGTTGAACTTCGGCAAACCATTTATGACAGCAGATATGAAGATATTCTGAAATGAGCTTATTATTTAAAAACACATTCATGCTAAAACTGTGTACTACGCTTAAATAAATTGATGATACCGTTTTCAAAGATAAAAGAACGTTGCTTTCAACTGTGTAAGCTAATAGTGTAATTTAATTTGAACTGTTCATGATTGAATTTCAGCTGAAATGTTCCTGGTTGTGGTGAAAATGAGGTAAAACTTCAAGGTGTAATCTTATAACAAAATTGGAATGATTTTTGATCAGAATTTGGTTTTGCCTCATCTGTTTAAATTTGTAGGCGTCAATAATCTGCAATAGTGTCATATTTTACGTTAGAATTGGAGATATTAAAATTTATCACAGTTTAAACTAACTATACTGTCCTGAAATTCATTTGAAAAAATAGCATTGTTTCTACGTTCTCATTAAGTTGTTCAATTTGCATATCCGTTTCAGAGACAATATGTAAATAGCCATGAATGAGAAATCAAACATAGGAACAAATAATAATTATTCTGGAAGTACAGGAAGTACATATCCGAACCCTCCGACACCTTCGGCACCTCCGAGTTATGAAGAGTCGGTCGGATACCCGGACTTGACGCACTTGATTCCTGGAAGTACCAGGTCCCAAAATGTGTCTCCGGCACCTAACGAAAACCCGTCGGGTTCTAATGATTATGGAAACCGCGCCACCTCAACCAATGTGCCTACATATACTGACAGGAACGACCACTGGGGAGTGATAGGGTATTATCAACCTGTTCAAACTCAAGATGCAATTGCCCTTTCGGAACCGTACATAGTTTTAACTCTACCAGAAGACGTGATCCCTCGGCTTAAACCCCAGCAGAAGCCTAACTTGCCTTATTTGCAATGGTAAGTTGACTATTCAACTGAGTATCTTGAATGATCGGATTGAAAGCTGTGTTAAAACATAATTATAAAGATTGAGTTGTTGATTGTGGAATTTAAGGCTTAAACAAAAAACTGTATGGGTATTAAGACCAGGCCTTTGATTTTTTTCAGCATAAACCATGAACTGCTTAACGTAAACCTAGCTTGCAGTGATAAACGAACGGCTTTTTATTACGAATTTCGCTTTGTAGCAGCTGGCACTGGTGCTCTGTTGGTCTGCAGGAAATCCAAGTGCCTCCATACTTCAGGTCTTCTTGCAGAGTTCCAGTCGATGCCAAGTTCTCACTCGACTTTGACAAGATTAACTTTATGCAAAGACAAGTGCGCGTGTTTGCTGCAGCACCCGACTCAATGTTTCACTTACAGGTAACACCTCAAATGCTAGATATGAGTTGTATAAGCGATGCAGAGTTGTTGGCACTATTTTTGCAATCAATTAATTGAAGGCAATCAGCAGAAATCATTCAGAAGTGTTCTGATAGGAAGTTTCTACGCAATTCTATCGCTCTAATAGTGTCCAAAATCTAGGTCACTGGAAAATAGTATTTTTCGGCCGGTTATAGAGTTCTAGGATAATCAGCGAATGATAAACATAAAGCGATAAGCAGGTGCTATCAAATGTTGTACCATAGTTTTTTTGCATGTAAACAACTAAATTAACAGAAAATTGTATCATTTCTTTCTTTTCTAGCTGGAAGTTGGCGTTATCTCTTCTTCCCTTGCTTTGTTTTTAGAGGGTATTTTGATGCTTGAGTGTCAAAGAACGAAGTGATTTTCACTAATGTAGGTCGTGATAATTTTTTTGTTTTGTTTTTGGGAAAAAGTCTGAAACTTTTTGGGCTCAATTTCGATTTTTAAGAGTTTTTATATAGGTCGTGACGATTCCAGAAAAAGTTTTAAACTGCTCTAATGAGGAAAGAAGTGCTTTCATATTTATAAATGCACATATGAATGTCCCTAGGTATATATGCAAATTTTTGAGTGTAATTCAAGTTAATTTTCTAACACGTAGAGAAAATGCACTCTCCAAGTATGAAAAATGTAATGGCGCGACAAAAACATGACTGATTTCTAGATTTCCCTGCAGAATATTTTTTTCCTTAATCCAGTTTTCTCAAAAAGTTATTTTTATTACACTAGCGCGCTTGCGAGCGTTAGTGTATTAGTACGAACCGTCTTTTTTTCTAACCTAACTTGCAAAAAATGTTCATTAAAAGTGTTCACTTATATGGGTAATTTTACTGTAACATTCAAAATTGCATAGCATCTGTTCTCTGCTTTTTTTGGCTAGTGTTTGTGATCTGTTAAGCGTCCGTGGCTGAGTGGTTAGTGTGTTAGAGTCATAATCTCTAGGTCGCAGATCGAATCCGAGAAGCAGTCGAATTTTTTTTTTACTAATTCGAGGCTTATTTCTACTTTTTCTTATTGCACTTTATGGAGCTGCTTGTTGTGTTATTGCTAGTGTTCGCGAAGCACAGCTTTGCCTCTGTGTCAAAAAAGTGCCAGTTATATTTTCCTCTTGAAATTCAAAGAGATTTCAGGCCAGTATTTTTTTTATTCGAAATTGGATTTTTAAAATTGTTTTTCTTGTTCTTTGCGTTCAACTACGCTTTTCCAATTGTCTGTTGACTATGCTTCGTGGTTTGACTTTTGATCTTTTTTGAAAGTTCAGATCATTTAGTTTGTTAAAAGGAGGCACATCCCGCTATCAAACAGTAAAAGTGAAAAGATCACAAAAACATGAGGAACTTCTAGTTTCAAAATGGATTTAAATATTTTGAGTTCCCAGCAGAAACAAGTTACCTATTGATCCAGTTTTCTCTAATTGCGAAATTTGAGAAAAAAAACCCTTTGAAATTAATTGGTGAAGATTGAAGAGCTTCAACGTGATAGTTTTTTCTCCGAAATGCAAAGTTTGTTTTTTCTGTTCTTTTTACACTTTTTGAACTATCTGTCCATTTTATATAGTTGTTAGTTTTCACTTGCGAGAGGAAATGATTTGAAATCGGTAACGAGGTTTGTTGCATTCAAACTATTTTTAAAATAAATATATAGGAAATTCACCATGTTGCTTAACGTCGATGCATTTCCTAATTGATCTTCTGGTAAGGCGCATGCCTTGGGGTGAAAGGTCTGGGCAAAGAGTTCGGTCAGTGTTGTGTTTTCGCGGTATGTATGGAAGTTGATACATTTTTTGTAAAAAACATGTCGGAGCATCGTTCGATTTGATTCATAGACCATCGTTTCTCTGCTTGTCTTTCCAAAGCATGGAAGGGCTTTTCTACCGGTTGAAGCAATTTTAATTAAATTTAAAGTCTTTTTTAATTTGTAAATTATTAACTCTAATTTTGTTCAATTTCTTTTTGTTCCTCCCATTAAAAATGTGGAGAAAGCCTATATTCGTTTGTCCTAAGTTTTTTTTCCACGCATAATCAGAAACTTAAATAATCATCGGAATGGGAGACTGGTACATCATATTAAAGCCCGTTTTTTCATTAAAATTCTGAATTTCTTCGTTTTTAGTCCAATTTCGAGCAATTAAATGTAAGCAAGCAGCCTTGTTATTGCAGGATCACAAGCCATGCAAATATAGTTTCATTCCAGTAAAATTATTAGTGCTAACTTGGGAATAAAAAACTTCAAAGTTTCAAAAAATTTTGTGAAAAAAATGATTTTAATTTTTTTTTTCATATCATTTTCGATTATAACCGTTGCACGATTTGCCTTTTTTCTACTGTGACTGCCGGCTTAATTACCGTTCGCTACGTTGCTCTGAATGTTTTTAACGCTTGGATAAGTTTTTTTCCTGTTTCTTGTTTTTCTTAAATTGAACAGCATTTGAGACAAAGGTATGAAGTTTTTTGCCATTTTTCTTTTGATTATTTTTAAATTTATTTTCTTTTGCAATGCGCAGCTTTGCTTGTGTTTAAAGACATTATATGGTAGAAAGATATAAAAACTGAAGGAAGTTTTTACTGGGTCTAATATCAAAGCTGATGTTTCATTTGCTGTAACCGTTACACGATTTGCCTTTTTCTGTGACTGTTGAACATGACTAAATTCTACGTTTTTGTTAGATCACACGACTCACAAAAACAAACTCTAATTTGAAGCAAAACAAAGCATTCAAGTTTCACAGCTGGAACGATTGTCTACCGAGTACGGTCGGTTAATTACAGTTAGCTTCGCGGCTCTAAATGTTTTTAACGCTAGGTATTTGTTTTTTTCCGGTTTTATGTTTACCTTAAATTGAACAGAAAAGGCCATATATTTTTTTTTGTTGAAAATCGAAGTACGATTTTTTTCAGAAAAGTCAATATTTTTTTACTGTTTAGTTACGTTCATTGACTCTTTTCCAACTGGCTATGGTTTTTTTGTCCAAGTTCAGGCAGGGCAGATTCCCATCATTATACGAGACATTTCCACCATCAGAGAAAGAATGGATGAAGATTGGAAATTTACCTATTGATCGAGTTTTCTCACATTGGGTTTATTTTGTCCAAAAATTGTCACATAGTAATTTAAAGAGATTTAAGGTCATCTATTTTTTTTCCATCGAAATTCGCAAGTTTTTTTTTCAAACTATTCAGTTTTTTTTTTACTTTTTACTTACTTGCGATCGTTGGCTCTTTTCTAACTGTCTGTTGGCTATATTTAAAAAAATTATCACGTTTGTTTTTGTTTATAAGAGTCCATGAACATTGAGTTAGTTTTGTCAAAACAGTGGGTCAATCATAAATTGTTCTAGAAATTCGCTTATTCGAATGTCAGTGTTTTGTTTCCTTGCGTTCATTACTCTTTTCCAACTGTCGGTTGGTGATCGGTGATTTGTAAGAAGTCTATTCTTTTTAGCTGGTTTGGCAAATCCTATTACCAGAATTTTCCGTGCCCTAATTTGCGAAATTTTTTCGTATCTCACATTTACAGATTCTATTTCATTTTTCGCAGCATAATTTCCCCGATTGCTGGATGAAAATAATTTGTTTACTGTTGTTTCAGAGTGGAATAGTTAGCAAAGCTAAGACAAGCTATCAGACAAATTTCATCAAAGGAATTGCTGACAAACTTGCAAACTGCACTTTACGAATCACAACGACGACAGGAATCAGATTCTACAAATTTCAGAGCCTTCATTCAAGATGAATTTTTTCATTTTTTCTTTTTAATTGGTCAATTTTTTGTCCAGTGCAAACTTCTCATCCTTTGAAGAAATTTATTTTGAAGATTAGAATTTAAAAATAACTATTGGCTTCAATTAAATTGTGTCGAATTGGTTTTTACTTTTTCTATTTTGTGGTTTTGATAAATTTCATCGTTAATGGCTTGGTTAAATGTGCAATTCGCAGATCAAGTCTACTTTTTCTTTTGCTGTTGTTGTTTGTTATCCGTAGTGGACTCTTTTCTGCTGTTGTTCTGGGTCTGATTCTGACTATCTGAAAACAAAAAGCATTGTTTTGAACAGATTTTTTGAAAGTCTGAATTCGGGAAAGTTGCAGAAAAAGTCTTTTGGGCGAGCAAGTTCTCTATTAAGATATATAATGGTCCGAAGTTAGAGCCAAAAGTTGATCATTACTCACTTTTCCAGGGTGAGCAAAAACTATTTGAAGTATCTATTAAACTGCGTTTTTTATTGCACGAGTACTAGACTTTTTCTCTGTAAATAACTTTGTTTGCAAGACTCACTGGACTCATTTCCGGGAAGCCTCCTTTAGCTACAAATTTACTGCAAAAGGCCTATTTTATGCATTTTGGCATTTTAAATATCTGGCCAATTCGAGATTTGCTTTTTTTCGGCTTGATAGGTATTGGCCTATTATATATTGGTTTAGTGGCCTCATATGGCGTCGTTTGACGAGCAAAAAAAGTTTGCGTGTGGGTGTGTTTTGAGGGTGAGGCAGACTTAATAATTTTTTTGAAGTCTTGTTAGATTTTTTCAGCTTAAAGGTTTGGACGCTTTCCGGCTTTGTTACCGTTTGGTTTGTTTTCTTCTGATGCTAATTTTACATTGTCTTGGCATATTTTCGTTTCAAAACTAGCTTTTTCATTTTGGTAGATTTGTTTTTCGACATTATTTCGTTTTTGTTCAAAAAGTCTTTTAAAATGCGATTATTCCAAAATAAGTGATTTTATGCTTTTAATTGCATATATGAATTCCCCTAGCTCTTTTTTCATTGCATATATGAATTCCCCTAGCTCTTAATCTTGACGGTTATATGCTCTTTTTGAGTTCAATATAAATAATTTGCTAGAAAATAGGCAATACGCACTCTCCAACTATAACAGCTTAAATGGCGCAAAAAAGGTGATCGATTTCTGGTTTCGAAAGTGGAGTTCACAAAAAAAACCATATTTCGTCTCTGCGTTCATCAGATTTTTTATACTGTCTATTGGCTATGTTTTTGTGTCGCAAGTGGTGCGAAGCTCCGCAAAGCCTCTGTGTTGGATTTTCTTTGCAAGAGCAAGTGTATTGTTAATGGTAGCTAGACTTTTTTCATGAAACAACCTTCCTTACAAATAAGTTAGAGTTATTCAGATCTGTAATGGTATTTTGGGCAGCGCGCGTTTCAAATTTCTTTTTCGATTTTTGAGCTGCTGTTGTTTGCAAACGAATTCAAAATTTTTAGTTGTAAAAGAATACGTTATAAAGGTCTGGATGATTTTTTGTTTCATTTGAAAAATAAATTTGTTCATATTTTTCTCTCGCGTCTTTCTGAAATGTTTTTTGTGTCTTGTTTTGAAAAATTCCTAACTGCACTGCTCACATTTAAAGGTACGGCTGACAGTAATTACTCTGTTAAAATCTAACCCGCTAAAATCAACCCGCTAAAATCATGTCTGTAAAAAAGTAAGTGGAAATTAATTTACTTTGTCCGCTTTTGTCTTTTTTCTTGTCTTCTTTGGCCTGTACTTCTACATCAGCAAAATTCTGGATTTGCTCTTTCATCTGGTTCAAATCTTCTTCATACGCCAGTCTGACCTGAGTATCAATTAAAGTGAGCTCTCAAGTTGCAACTAAACTGTTAAAAAGTTCTTGGAAAGGTGTTTTGATGAGGCAGAAAGCATTTTGTCGAAGTTTTCATGGAAAATTTTGGTGGTTTTTTGGCGGAGAAATTTTTAAAGAGGACATTTGTCAATGGGTTTTTTTTTGTTTTTTAGATATCATAACTAGAAGTGCTGTTTTTTAATAATTGAAATTGCGCTTGAGTGCCTCTCACCTGGGCGGGAGCAGCGATTTGCTCCATTTTTTCTTTGATGTCCGCGAACTCCTGGATGCTCTCCTGTGCTTTGGTCGTATTTACGCAGATCAGCGCAAATTCTCCGTCTGATGCAAACAAAAATGTCTAATTTTGTTATATTTGAGGGTTTTTTATGCAATTGTTTATTTTTGTAAATCCAGATGATGCAATTGACACTTTTCCTTGATGTTCCTTGAGGTTCTTTAAATGTTTTTTTTTGGTACCTGGCATCTTGTTGTAGGATGAGGCCTTCTCGCCCCTGACGGGTGTGATGGATATCTTGCATGCGTCTTTGAACTTGTCACTTGCAAAGTACAATTCCTTCTCTACCTTCTTTTTTTCCTCCAACAAAGGAATCATTTGCTCTTGATGTCTTAAGTGCAAGTCCTTCAACAGTTGCGCTTTCCTAAAAAATGCCCTCACTTTTATTTTCAGGGATAAGTACTTCTAAGATTTAGTAAGTTGCTGATATGAAAGTGGGTTTTGCCTTGCGTTGAGCTGCTTGTCCAGTTCTTTGAAGGTGGCGTGAATGAGCCTTTGACCGACGTTCTCGGATACCTGTAACATGTTCGAAGAGTAAAGTTAACGAGTCCTACAGATGAATTTGATTGCGAAGACTCCGAGTACTTGAGCTTTGATAGTTGTTACTTAATTACCTTGAGACTGTCGAGTGCATCCTGGATGTCTCGGATGTTCTTCCTGTGGATCTTTCTTTCAAGACTGGCCGCCTCCTCCCGACTGCTCATGAACTCCTCCAGGAGACCCTCGACGTGCTTGGTTCTAATTTGACATGGTTCAGAAATAATAAGAACTCCATTTATCAAAAGCTGGATATAAAAGAGCATCGATATTCTGAACAGCAAATTAGCATATGATAACGTGCAACATTTTTTGTTGAAAAAAATCAAGCTATTTCTCAAGGGAGGCGCTTTTTTAAAGTCGCGGTAAATCACCTGCAGTTATCGCAAAGCTTCTGAGCACAGTGTACACAGTGGTTGAAGTCGGTCTTCTCCACTCCACAGCCCCCCTCGCACGGCTTCCCTCCTCCTCCCCCACCTCCGCCTCCCCCACCACCACCGCCTCCCTGACTGTTCTCATTTTCCCCGCCCCGACTACGCTGTGTCTGATTACCCGACCCTTTCTTCACCGTCACCGACATTCAACTGCAATTCTTTTGAAAAAAAAATCAAATATACATTGTCTTAAGTTGTTATTGTCTCTCGGGCTTAACCGTTTTCGAAGTGTGGTTCCTAGGCTTTAACCGGTGTTGAGCTTTTCCATATTTACGTTTACGCTTATTAATTAGGTCGGAAAACATCTGGATAACTCAGCTTATAGCAACGCAAATGAACAATCCTTTTGCGTACTGACAACAAAATGGCAAGCCCATTAATTGCTCTTTTTGTTTTACAGATTTTTAAAACGGGTTGAATCTCGACGGAAAATTAATCATCTGAAACGGTTTTTTTTCGGAAATGTGGACAGTATGGGGCTGAAGTTGAGTCATCAGAATTAATTGTTCAAGGTTTCAAATAGATTTAGTCTTCAAGATTTATGAGCGTAGTAAAGACTTATATAGGTCTTGGTGATTTTTTTTTTGTTTTTCAGGAAAACATGCAGTTTTGAGTTCAATTCGATATCATCTGTTAAAAGTTAAATAAATTGCGTTCTCCAAATACGAACGTGGAATTGGAGCGGAAAAAAACGAACGATTTTCTTGTTTCGAAATATAATTTTTGCCTATTAGCTAGTTATCTTAAATTGAGTTAAACTGTCAAACATAAATTCATCTTCAAATTCAAAGAGGGTTAAAGCCATATCTTTTTAACTTTCAAATTCGAAAGTTAAAGTTTTTTCAAAAATAGGTCACTTTTTTGTTTCCTTGCGTTCATTGAAGTTGGCTATGTTAGTTCCTGTCAGTTGCCTATGTTAGTGGGCTTCAAATATTAGAAGTTAGATTAATAATGTTTAATTTTACCTTTTGGCAGATCAGTTGAGCTTGACGAATAATAGATGCGAGTTCTGGTTCGATCAAATAATCTGTGTAATCAGATAAACGCTGTTTTTTGTTGCTGAGCGAGCTATTCGATTTTGAATTGAAAACAGTATTTTTTGAGCAACGTCTAAGCATTCGCCACTTGACTGACTCGAGTGCTTTACATGTAAAGCTTTTTATGACTGAGAAGTTGCTTAGCTTACTACAATTGTTGATTTCTTCACAATTTATTTATTGCTCCGATCACCGAAGTGAACGGAAAATGTGGATTTGGTTATTTTTTGCCACACAAGTTTAGGTGCTGCATAAGTCACTCGGGTTGAGTGATATATCATATTAAAGCGCAATCAACCGTTATTCGAGCTGCCATGAAAAGTTCTAAACAATTTTTTTAGGTTATCGAGAAAAATGATCTGATTTTTTGCTTCTCAGAGCAATTTAGCGCGAAGGCTTACTGAATGTATATATAACAGTTTCTTCATAATTTTGACTCAAGTAAATAATATTATCATTTTGTTTCAGATTTAATGTCTTAAAGTTTTTAGCGGTTCATTTTTTTAAAAATAATAAATTAGGTTATTAATTAGAATTAGGAATGGATGCAGTAAACAGTGCAATAATAAACAACGACAGTTCGCAGCAACATTTGCCAGACGGAAGTCCGCCGCAATCTGAAGCTGAAGTTGACGTTGAACCCGAAGATGTTCGCAATATTTCGATGACGTCATCAGCGTCCTCTCGCGTAAACAACTTGGCATCAAGATCACAAAGGCGCAGTCACGTGGAAACGGATTACAACATACGGCCAATGGAGTTCAGAGGTTTTTCTCCGGGCACACAACGGAGGCATTCACGCCAATATGGAAGTGAGAATTTTTAAATCACAGAAGGCTTTTCTTAAATCAAACGATTTTCTCGGATGTTTTGATTGAATTGACTCCAGAAACTGAATTAATGGTAAAGAAATCTTTGAGAATACGTTGTTAGTTTTTTGAAATGGAAAAAGCTCTGGAAGGTCTTAAGCAAATACATTTTTAGATACGGAGGAATCAAAATGTTTAAAATAGTGATACCTTTAGGAACATCTCAGCCACCGGGATTTGACGCAAGTATTCCAGAGATTACAATCGGACCGGAACATCTTCATACAATTTTAACAGTGAGCGGCAGTGGAATCCGCAATGGCACCTACAGACATGACAATGACGAAGACTGCAATGAAAATGACGACACGAGCAGTACTTCGGACTCTACCGTAGTGAAAGACCCGACAACTTTCGACGACGATTCGCGACTCATCGGGGATTCTGCGAACTTCTTTGGAGGAATCGAGCTGCATAGGTCCTACAATGACAATTCTCTTATCGGAGGCAGGACTTCGTTTTTGGGCGCTGTTTTTATTGTTTGCAATGCGGCACTGGGAATCGGAGTGGTGAATATTCCGCATGCTTTACTCACCATTGGAGGTCTCTATTCGGCTCTTTTCACCCAATGTGTGAGTTAGTTTTCTTACAAGTTAACTCGTTAACTCAAATCGTAAAAAATAAATTTATGTAGTGGATGTAAGTAAGTATACTTAATTTTTAAAAATAAGGTAAGAGTTATAATAGCCCATAGAAAGCAAAAAACATAAAAGAGGGTTTTCAAGAGGGTTCAGGATTTGTAACACTGAAATTGAGCTCAACTCGTATTTGGACATCTGGTCTATCGATTACTGGATCTTAATGTATTGTCTTGAATTACATTACCGAACAAAAAAGCTCGTTTTTTGACAGTTCTATTACTTTCTCTCATGTTTGACGTATTTTATTCCAGGTAGTGGTGTGCATCGTGATGTCGACTCTGTTCCTGTTGGGCTACTGTGCGGAGAGGTGTCAGGTGTCCTCATTCGAGTGTGTCGTTGGGACTCTGTGGGGTCCCAAACTGAAGTTCCTAGTGGAGCTCATCATCGTCCTTAATGGGTTCCTGTCCTGCATCATGTTTCTCATTATCGCAGGAGACCAGCTGCCACATGGTTCATTGAATTTTTGTTATTTCACTGATTGGATTAGCGTTTAATAGCAAAAGCAGATGGCTCAGTCTGTCAAGTGGAAATGAATGATGAGGTTGAGGGTTGGAATTCAACAAACAACAAATATTTTTCGATACAGTGTTTGAAAGAGCACCTTGTTTTTAGTGCTGTTGCTTCTGGACCCGAGCAAGAGTCCTACTTATTTCCGGGAGCTATCAGTGGTATTGTCTTCCCTGCTTATTCTGCCACTCTGCATACCGAAGGACATCGCATACCTCTCATACCCTGGGTGAATTGTAATTCAGATCATATTAATGAACCTCCAACTTCTGGTCTTGGTAAAAAAATAATTATTTGATGTCCCCACCCTCGAAGAGTAAGTATAAGGCTCAAATAATTTCTTTTAAAAAATTGTGGTGCTTGGTTTTATGATTTATGTATACCTACTGTATGACTTTTTGTATCTCTTGCAGACTAGTGTCGGTAGTAGCTGTGATCTACTTGCCTGTTGCAATCATCATCCGCTACTTCAAGCCAGACGCACCGAAGAGAGAAGACAGGTTTGACGATATCTCCTTCTCCTGGATGGGTCTCTTGCACTCGTTTCCCACTCTCGTGTTGGCCTATCAGTGTCACTTAAGCTGTGTGCCCTGCTATGCCAGTCTACGCAACAGGTTGGTCAACTTGTTGTAGCTTTGATAAACAGAGGAAAGTTTTTTTAAAAAGCTGTATAAATAGTCTGTTCAGCTATTTTTATTGTTTGGCTGACTCCCCATCTGTATAATTGGAAACTAAACTTCAGGAAGACGTGTTCATTTGCAAGCTGCGAAATCGTACAGCCAGCCAATTTTTTTTTGTAGGTCAATGACTAGATGGGCAACCATCATCACAATTGCTCTACTTATTGTCTCCGGAATCTACGCTTCAGTCGGTTTCTTCGGGTTCATGACATTCGGAAATATGGTAAGAGACAAATTTGGGTGTGATTCTTGTTATTGATAAGATTGAATTTAAAAAAATTGTATTTAGTATTTATAAAGTTAACTAGTTTTCTATCTATTTAACCCTTGCGATAAGCAAGGGTATTGCAATTGGGTCCTAGACTTTTTTCCCGTCAATAACTTTAGGCACAGGACTCATCTCCTGGACCCTGCACTCGTTCATCCACTAAGCCTTTTTGTTGCAACAGAGGTTTTTTGAGCATGTTAGCATTTCAAATATCGGCTTATTCGATTTTTTTTGTTGATTGCAATTTTACCAACTCGCTTTGTTAAAACTTCTCTTGTTTTTTTTCTCAGTTTAATAGATTTCGGCATATTTTATAATGGCTCAGTGGTCCCATTTTGCATCGTTTGATGAGCGAAAAAAATTTCGGTGTGCGCTTTGAGTTCTGAGGGGAATGAGCTTTAACATTTTTTTTAGTTACGAATTTTTTTCCGAATTTTCTAAAAAAAAATTTCCGGCTTTAAGGATTCTGCTCAGACTTTTTTTACTGCCTGTTAAGTTTTCCGATGATAATCTTATATTTTACTTTATTTGGTGGATTTGACTTTTGATTCTAATTATGCTTCATTCAAATTCATCTGCTTAATATGGAGAATGAAGAGACCTTGAACAAGATCAGCTGCTTAATCCTAGCGACATAAAAAGGTTATCTAAGACACAGTTTTCGTTAACTGGGTTGGAGTTAGTTAGTTAGCAAACATAATTGTCAGTCATAATTTTTTTCTAAAGTATAAAGAAATGCATGCTTCACTATCTCGCCATCCGTAAGCTTCAAAGTATTATATCTGCAAGTTCAGCTAAAGAATTTTTTCACGTTCTTACTTTATCGTATATTGCAATGCTTGAAGATTTTTTGTTCGATTAACCAGCTGGAATTCGAATTGGGCCTCCAAATATGAATGCCCAAATCCTTTTTGTTTACAAGATACGACGTTTCTAGTGACTTTTTCGAAAAATTTCAAGGTACAGATTTCAAGAAATTCGCAAAATTTGAAGTTCTTTACACTGTAGTTGGATGCTTTCAGGGTAGTCTCAGGGTTGCAAATGTTGCCTCAAATTATGACTTCTCACGTCTTTTTAGCTTTCATTATATGACCTTTTTAATGCTTTTTTCGTAAGTTTTCAAAGAAACAAGATATAAAAAAACGGACAAAAAGTTGAAATTCTAAACTCTATAGTGTGGAGTGCTGTCAGTACTTTCAGGCGTTTCAAATCTTGCCTTCAAATTACCAACTCGTTTTACAAAGTCAGCTGAATCACTTATGATGCTGACATGCTCAATTTCATGAAAATTCTGTTTTGATTACTGGGTGGGTCCTAGTTAAAACGGTAGTTTCAGGTGGTCTTGAAACGTGTTATTGCTGTCTGCTCGAAGATTGTCGGCCCTGTTTCCGCTTCGTAAGTTTTGTTCAGTTGATATTGCTAGTTTGAACTTCAAAGGTTTTGCTTGGCATGTTTGCCTAGATTTCCTGTTTGACAAAAAACACAGGTAATATGAAAGTGTATGGGATTAAGTTTTTTGTTTCATTTTTTTTGGACGCTATGGAAATTTTTATCTCTATTTGCAAAATTTTTTGTTTTCCCCGCAAAAACCCTTCTCCCGCTTTTCAAACAAGAGTATCCATAGAAACAGCGCCTTCATTTTTGTGTACTTGATTACTCTCCTGGTCTCTTTTTGCTTTACCCCTGTCTACAGCCTACGAGGACACCTGTGGCGGGGATATTTGACCGATATTTTTTGACTTTTTTTTCATCTTCTCAAAAACTAACCTACCAAATCTGAGATTTTGGTTTCAATGAATTTGACATATAAGAAAAGTTCACCTTCATAAATAGCTACTCTCAAAATTTTTCTACTCATAAAACTATGACCCTCGGAATTGTCAAATTTTTTGACCGTTTTTTTGAATCCCTTTAAACTTTTTTTTCTAAAATTAAGATCCCGATTTTTAGGTTGCGGGTTTAATAGAGATAACGGGTTGTGGGAAACTCCCCTGCGTAAGCGTCCACTTTTAAATTTTTTTTCTCACAAAAAGTTATAGATCTCGAAAAAGTCATTTTAAAATTTTTTTGAGTGCTTAAGTTTTATGATTTTTACCAAAAAATACTATCTGAGATTTCGGGTTCAGTCCAAAGAACGGGTTGTTTGAAGCTCCTTTGCATAGGCGACTACGCCCAAATTTTTTACACTAAAAATTATGGCCCTAGGAAATGTCAAAATTTTGATTTTTCAACCGTTTTTTTTTTTGAAACTTTTCTCGAGAACTACCCTGCCAAATCTGGGTTTTCGAGTTCAATCGAAATTAAAGGTTGGGTGAATCTTTTCTGCATCAGCGGCTGCTTATTTAAAACAAAAAGCTATGATTCTCGGAATTGTCAGCTTTCTGATTTGTTCACCGCTTTTTCAACTTTTCTCGATAACTATCCTGCCAAATCGGATATCATACGTTTAGTCGATACAGCAGGTTGTTGGAAACTTGTTTATTGAATTTGCCACTCCCAGTTTTTTTAGAAAAAAGTTATGGCCTCCAAACAAGTGAAAGTTTTTTTGGAAGTTTATTTCGAATCTTATCGTGTCAGTTACTCGAATCTTACCGTGCCAGTTCTGAGGTTGTGTTCAATCGAGTTTGTGAATCTTCTCTACTTTACCGGCCACGACCTGCTTTTCCTTTTTAGCTGAAAAAATAAACGAATTACGAGAATTCAAGTTTTTGTTCTGGCCGTTTCTAAAAATTTTTGAATTTTCTTGAAAACTACCCTATCACATCTTAGATAATAATTCTAAGATCTCAAAATATATATTTTTTCATTAGATAAACAACTTAGATTTTGGGTGAAGTTCAATTTTTTGAAATTACGCATTTCGTCCCGCATCAGTATAACAAATTCAAAAAATATCAATTATGTACCTCCAGCTTTAGCTGAAGCCTAGGTATCCTTCATTGAGACATACGAAAATTTTTGCTCATTTAGTTTTTTTCAAAATGTTTCATGTTTTACGGCGTTTTTTGTTGTATCGCAAATGGTGCTAAGCCCCGCTTGGCCTCGATGGTCGGAACAATCAAGATAATTTATGGTGAGAAAATTTGTAGTAAGGTGGTGATATATCATATACAGACGTTTTCAGTCCCAATTTTGTTCCAGTATTGAGAAAAACCGGTTCGAAATTTCTCAGTTTTAGTCAATTTCGAGCGAGTATAATTTTTCGAAAGTTTTTTTGTTTCATGTTTCGAAATGTCAATTTTCAAAAAGTCATTTTTTTGAAAAATTTTTTTATTCATTGTTTTTCAAATTCGTTTAGTTTTAAGTGTGAATGACCGGGTTCTTGAAATTAGAGTTTTAATCTTATGTATTTTAAATAGAAAGTTTATTAATTTGTTTCCAGACGAAGAGCGACGTCTTATTGAACTACGAGTCCAAGGATGACATAATGATCTTTGCCCGACTCACCCTCTTCTGCTCGGTTATTTTTTCCTACCCCAGCATGCACTACGTCTCAAGGTAAATAGAATAAGTTGCCAATCAAGTTTATACAAATGCCAGGAAAATATTAATGAAAGCTCTTCAACTCGAGGAATTTTTAAGCTGATAAACCCTCTTCAGCTGTTCTTGTAATTTAGAATGATATATTTTTTATGTAAATGTGGTTCACAAAAAAAAAGTTTTTTTTTCGAGTTCCTTGAGTTCATTGACACTTCCTAACTTTCTGTTTGCCATGTTTTAAATTTGGCCTTGCTCTCAAATCATCAAATTTTAATTTACCGAGGCTCTTTTTACCTGAATTAATCCACTGACGTTCACAATGAATTGAGTTACTACGAAATGCAGTTGTTCAAACAATTTGAAAGGTAGTTTTTCCTATTTTTTTTAAAAAAATTTGCATTAATTTTGCTCAGGTCTGCATATCAGAGTATGTTCAAATGTCGAGGTAATCCGGACTCGCCCTTCAATGCTTTCTTCACTCCAGCCTGGCTCCTGGGCTCACTCTCTGCCAGCCTGTTCATACCCGAAATTGGATTTGTCATAAATAGATTCGGACCAGTCGCCGCCTTCTTCATACTAGGCTTTCCAGGTTATATTGAAATGTTAACTTATGAGTTTAACTTACATATTACGAATCGACTTTTTAGTTTTTTCAAAATGCTGTTTTTTGTTGGCATTTTTTGCTTTTTTACACAAGCGAAGTGTATTATTACGAAGAATTGTTTTTCCAAGCTAAGCCGCAAATAAATATGCTCTTGGGTAGCACTTTTGGTATATTTCAATTTAATCATATTTAAACTTATTTAAGCATGGAATTTTAATAGCATATGTTGCTGCTTTATTTTGGCTTGTGTTAGGTCCTGTTTGAAAAAAAAACGGCATAATGAAAATGTATGGGATTCGTTGTTTTTTTTGTGATGCTTTGGAAGATTTTTGCACTTTCCGAGGAAATTTCTATTTTTCTGCGGCCTTCGAAAGTTTCTGTAGTAGGATTTTTGACCTAATTGTGTTTTATCTTTTTTCATTTTCTCAAACATTAAAAGCACAAATCTGAGATGAAAGTTTCAATCAAAAGAACAAACCATGGGGATCTTTCCTCCTCAAGAGGCTATTCCCTAAATTCGGTAGAAAAAAAGTAATGGCCTCAAACACACCCATTTTTGACATTTTGGTTAATTTTTAATTTTCTTGACTTTTCTCAAAAACTACTGGGAAATTGGAACTAGGGTTTAACCGAAAAAAAAAACAGTTTTGTGACTCTCCTCTGCGCAAGAGTCTATGCCTTACGTTTTGAAAAAATATGGCATTAAAAAAGGTCACATTTGAAATGATGCCTGTTCTTTTTTGGAAACGTTTTTCCAAAAACTAACCTGCCGATTCTGAGGTTGATAGAAATTGCATCACTTTTCTCAAAAACTACCAGCTAAAGCTGATATTAAGGGTTCATTCTAAAATTTAGGGTGTGCAAGTTCTCCCTGCATAAGGGGCTATTCCCATGCTTAAGTAGAGAAAAGTTAATGGATTTAGGAAACGTCAGTATTTTAGTTTTTGATCATTTTTTGGATTATTTTTTACTCGTTTCGAAAACTACTCAGCCAAATATGAGAGAATGAATATACTTGAAAGAAACAGTAGTAGTTTTGTCCTTATTATAAGCGGCTAATCCTCTACTTAAGCACAGAAATCTTTAGGGTTTTGCGTGAAGTCCATTTTTTGAGATTTTTAAAATAACGCCTTTCCGTATCAGTACAAGATGATTCAAAATATTAAAACAGGCGCATCCAGCATTAGCTAGGGCACTAGTTAATTTTCAAGCAACCGTGGCACAGATGTCTGCACGTGAGACTAGATCCACTGGTCGGAGATATAAACCCGGAGCATTGAAATAGTTTTTTTTGGTCGAATTTTTGCTGCGTAGCATTGGCAATTTGATAGAAATTGTAGCTGTTTTATTGGTGGCTTGTGTTAGTAAAATTACAAGCGATCGTGGAGCAGATGTGAGAACGTGATATTCCTAAAATCAGCAAAAAGTTTTTCACAAGTGGTATTTTAAGTTTTTTCCTTTTGCCTTATTTCACTATGTTTTACCTGTTCAGAGCTTTTTTTGCGTTTTCCTTGCTTGTGTTTGCGGAGCACAGCTTCGCCTGTGTTTTAAGTCTGCTTTATTGCGGTTTTTTGCTTGTTTTGCAACGTTGTGCAGCTTCGCCTCAAAGTAAAAATTGCCTGCCCTAAGAAAATTTGCGCAAGTTAACGCCCTTGACAAAGAAGTTGCAACTTTTTTCTTGTTTTCTTTGTTTCTACCATTTTTTAGATAAAGGGTTGAATTTTTGACATGCTGGATTCTATTATTTTAGATAAAAGGTTGAATTTTCGATATGCTGGGTGCAACTATTTGAAAGGAGCTAGCCAGAGGTGCTCTTGCTGTGGGAACATTCACGCAAACAACACAAGAAGCTTGGATTTATGTACTCAAATTGGTTCGTTGGGAAGATGATGAGCTTGACTTGTTCTTTTTTTGCCACGGAATAACAATAGACAAAATAGTTACTTGGTCCGGTGTCAAAAAGCTAATGAATTGTAAATAATTTTGCACTAATGATCGAAATAAACCAGCAATAAAACTGTTCCAGCAAGTATTTGAGGAGATTACTGCTCGGTTCCATGCATAGGATTTTCTAAGCTGTTTTTGTGCCTTGTTTTTGTTTCTGTGGTTCGGAAATGAGCGCCCAAGACCTTCAAACGTCTGTATCGTCAAAATAGATACGACCGTTTTTTGACGCCTGGCCAAATAATTATTTAGGTTTTTTCATCTGCCATTCTTCAGCGGCAGAAAGAGTAATTGAAGCTCAGCAGCTTCCCAAAGAGCCAATTTGAATCCATAAATTCAAGGGTTTGTCCCGTGACTAGATCTTTTAAGGTTCTGAGACATCTCTAAAATGGCCAAAATCTATTTAAATGGTTACCATAAAAAAGTTAAGCAAAATTTCTGGTTCAATGTGAAAGAAGGTGTTGTTTTCAGAATATATATTGATTTTAGATATTGTTCTTTTTGCCGTGAAGATATATTTTTTTCAGGTCTGTGCCTGATCCAACTGTCTCGTCAACACTCACGAATGTGGATTTTCTCAGCCGCAGTTGGAATAATATACTGCATTCTGTGCGTAATGGTGCTCGCTTGCTCTTTTCTCTCTTTCTATCCCAAGTAAACTATTCTCCTAAAAAGAAATGAGTGTTAGATCGGTCCCCAAGACAAATCAAATATGAATGTTAGATGCATGAGCATGGGTTTTAAAAAATGAAATTTATTGCTAATAAAAATCACAATAGGTTTTAGATTAAAAGCGGGGTTTTTACATAAGAGATTCTGCACTCTTGAACTCTCAAGTTTAAATTATAGAAGAAAAAGCAAATGAAGTCATTTTTCGGAAGGTGCTGAATTTTACGGAACCATCTGCCATATATGGACCACGAGCTAAAATATTTTAACGCGTATAGACTACGCAATTGAACTTAAACAAAATCTTTTCAGAAGAAACTGAAGTTTTCGGTACCAGCTGCCATAATTGTACCTCAAAAATTGACTATACAATATTTTCATGGCCAAATATTCAGTGCAGTATGTTTAGTTAGTTATTTAATTTAGCTAGAGCAAGAACAATTATTTAAGGTTAGTGCTGTTGGCGAAATTAGTGCTCATATCACATTTTCTTTCGGATTAGCCCACATTGTAAAACCATTTATTTTTTCCTGTAGTTAAATTTACAAGGTATGTTTTAGATAGCAATAATCGTGTATTTTTATCAGGCTATTTTATTATTGTAGAAAATTGATTTTGAGTACAGTTCAGTTTTGTGTCAATGAGGCTCTTTAAGCCTATTCCGACTAATTGAGTTCAGTTTTTAAATGTTGAGAACAAGTGAATTTTTTCTGAATTAGTCCTTGCTCATTTTTTTTTTATTTCGGTGTTTTGATTTTTGATTACAATTGCGAAGCAAATTTTATTAGTAAAAATTTTCTTTTTTTTTCCAACCTAAGTCGCCAATAAAATTGCTAGTTTTGGTGGCACTTTTGAATCGGTAGGCTGCGGTAGCAGTATAATATCGTATGTGATTTGACAGTTGATTCGTAATAACTTAACACAGTTGATGCATCTTTTAATTCATTGAATGTACAGAAAAAAGCTATTTGTTTCAAGCAACAGTACAATAATAAAATCATTTCAGAAATTTTCCAACTCAATGTATCTCGCATTTTTTTTGAAATGCATAATTTATACATAATTTGGCTTCATGCTTTCCAATTTATTACATGCAAAATTGTGTCTTTTTGTATTGGTGCTAGTTTGCTGCATCAAATTGGCAATTTATTAGCTTATGTAGCTGCGTTATTGATGGCTAGTTTTTTGGAGATTTTTAGCATCGGTCGCTGAGTGGTTAGTGTGTGAGACTCAAATTTGCCAGGTGGCAGATTTGAATCCGACACGTAGCCGAGTTTTTGCTAATTCGAGGCTTATTTCTATTTTTTTTCTAATTTCACTTGATAGAGCTGCTTTTTGGTCGTCTTGTGGCAAGTGTTTGTGAAGCGCAGCTTCGCCTGTTTTAAAATTGATATACTAAAATCAAGGCAAATTACGCTCTCCAGTTTAGGTGGAACTGGCGCAGAAAAAAAATGATTTTGAGGATTTGAATTTTGGGGAAAAAAAACAGGTCCGTTATAGGCGCATAACTTAATAATGGAGCAAAATAAACGAAATGAGCTCGTTGGGTGGGAAACAAAACGAATTAGGCGGTTAAAAAACAAGTTTGTTTATGTATCCGGGCAAAGCCCTGAATGTTCCGACTACCCCTTCATTCATATCGATTAGTAGGAAAAGATCTGGGAAAAGAAAATACTGAAAAAACTATCAATTTTGGATAATATCAATTTTGAAAATTACTAATTAATACGACCGTTTAGTTAAGCTAGCCTCAATTCAATTTGGATGGATTTTTTGCGCGAATCTTCAAAGCCCGAATAAATTAGTCCAGAGCCTGCTCAAATTGACAATTTCCAAGCTCTCAGATGTTTGCAAAAAAAACTGAGCGGAGGTAAAATATATTATTGAGTTTGATTACAGGGAGTTGATATCTTCAATTGGGTAAAAAATTGTCTGCTTTAAACTATTATTTTTATCGCCGAAAACTGATTGAATAAAAAAAACCAGCCCTAGCATAAATATTCCGTTTTTTTCGAAAGTCGATACAATATAGGCAAATAACTGATTCACTCTCGCAGAATTGCATATTAAGTTCAGTGTATATTACAGACCCGTCTATATCAATTATCGACTGACTTCTTTTTAAGTTCAATAGAAATTCATAGGCCAAAAGGAATGAAAATACGCACTAAGGCGCAAAAAGAACGTGAATGACCTCTTAGTTTAAAAAAAAAACGTGGAAGTTAACTGTATCGCAGCCGAATTAAAATTATTACCAATTAAATCAGTTTTCTCTAACTTGGTTAGCTTTATCTTGAAATTCTGTTTTTTCTTGCGTTCTTTCCTCTTTTCCAACTATCAGTTGGCGATGTTTACTTAAAAAGTTTTACTTGTATTTTGTGAAAATAGCCTTTTATTTCCCTATTTGATAAGCTTACTTATCCGCCAATGTCAGAATGGGGTTTTGAAGCTCCATGGAATAGCTGGCGGTAGAGCTGAAAAACAGTAGCCACCTCATGACTTCACAAATGTCTTAACCGGATTTCAAATCAAGGAATAACGAAGAGAAAAAGGAGGAATTGGTTTTCTCTGCAGACTACGTGGCCCATAGTAAACATTAAAAAATAGAAAAATGTGTAGAAATTGAGCGAAATTCACATGGGGTTACCGCGATCGGAACATTCGGACTATGTCCTTTTTCAATCTCTGTGGTAGAAATTAGAATCAGTATTTACTTTCAGGTTGATGAATGGATGGATATCTTCGACTGTGATTTGAAAATGAAAAGTTAATTGAAAAATTTTGATTTTACGTGACTATTAGCAATCTCATCCGGCGGAATGTCTACCCCTTTAACCATATCAAATAACGGATCCCTGGAAGTACTGCAAAATGACTCGCACATCAATGCATCATTAGGATCTTCTGCAAGCAACGGAGTGTTGATGAACAAAGTGATGGCTGGTTCTGTCTCGAAGGCCCCGATGAGCCATCAGCTATACAAAACCAAAGTCGCCAAAATCACCACGGAAGAGAATGGGGCAGCTTCGTTCAAAATTGAATCTACTAAGGTAGATAGATACTTTTAAATTTAAGGATCCTTGCTTGGTTGAACAAATCGGTACGGCGGATTTATTATGATTACGTGCTTTGGTTTCGTGTCTACTCTTTGTTAGTAATACATGGCAATTTTTTTGCTGCATTGTTTTTGGTAAACAAGTCGATTACCTTTTCAAATGAGAAATTGATGTGGCCACATATTTGAAAATGATTCAGTATTACGTCATCGATATTGTCAAATGATGCCAATTGAGAGATATTTGTTTTAGCTTAGTAACGGGAATAAGCATGAGGTGTGGAGGACTTTCAAGGAGTTCATGTGGCTCGACTACCAGATTCGGACATATCATCACAAGGAATACAGAATTGTATGTTAAATTGTTAAATTAGCTAGCTTTACCATAATTTTCGCGACTTATACATCTCAAATAATAAGGAACCGATAAAGTTTTGTTTGTAAAGACGAAAGATAAGGTAAGTACCTAGTTAGTTGGATTTCGTAGTATTTAGGTGGTTTGTTTACACTTGCGAGCCTTTGCGAGCGTAGTGTAATAGTACGACTATTCTTTTTTACCAACCAAAATCGCAAATATTGGTGCCACTTTTGGGGCATCTTTGCGGCTTTTTGATAGTATGCGCTTTGAAATCATTCGATTAGTGTTAAAATAAAACAGTTGATGAAATTTTGGTTTATCAAATGAACCGAGAAAAGGAAAGGTATTTGTTTCAAACAATAGTACAATTATTACACTAGCAAGCTTTAGCGAGAGTAGTGTAATAGTACTACATTTCTTTTTTTCCAGCTATTTTTTTTCCAAAGGTGTTCGAGTTGTTCGGGTCAATATTTGTTTTGTTTCTAGGGCAAGCAGCTAATCACGATTTAATCTAAATTTTTGGAAAGCCAATATCTTCAGTAATTTAGAACACAAAACGTCTAAAAGGTGAATGGTCATTGAAGTTTTTTTTAGTTCAGTTTTTAAACAAGCGAAGCTTGTGTGATAAATTGAACTCTTTTTTTTTCTAACCCAAGTCGCTTGTATTAGTTTTCATTTTGAAAGTGTTTTTTTTCGCAGTATTATATATACACTGACTATTATATTACAAATAACACTTTAGCTTCAAGGTATCATGGATATGTTGCGAAGATGTAGGGAAGGAGACCCGCAATAAAGGCAGTGAAGGAGACCCGCAACAAAATATGAGGGTTCAAACATAGGCAGTGTCGGATGTTTTTAATGAACTTTTTCGTATAGTAGTTAAAATGCGTCGGCTCTATAAATTGAGGGGCATGTTAGTTGGTACATTTTTTTTCAAATTGACTGGTACTGCCAAGCGTCATATTTGGCTTGCGTCAATTAGCAATTATGTAGACCCATAATTGGCGTGTGTCACTTAAGAAATTATGTTGTCTCAAACTTAAACTCATTTATTCGACTAATCTGTTGAATTTCAACTTCATTTCTTCTGAGAGTTCCAGTAATCAAAAATGAGCCTTTGCTTATTTCACTTTCTAAATCTGCTTTTTGTCGTGATCTCGCTATTGTTTGCGAAGCGCACTTTCGCCTCTGTGACGAAATATTAGTGTAGTTTATTTAGATCTCAATTTATGTGGCTAATTTTTTTTGGCAGGACTGAATAGAACAAGACTGCTCGTATTAGTGCAAAGCCCTGTATGTTCTGGCTGCCAATTAACTAGTCTCGAAAAGTTTATAGTTGATGGAATATTGAAACACTTTGAATTTCAGACTGATAATATCAAATTTTAATTGTTTACCCTTGCGATGGGTCGTGAAAACTTTTTAAAAGTTCATGAAATTTTTTATCACAACAGTTTTATTATCGTCTCAACAGGTTTCTTCGACCCAAAATTTGTTACCGCTCGAAGAATTGTTTCCAATTGTTTTAAAAAGCTGCTTATGAACTTTATGTAGCTGTAGTTTTTCCAACTTTTTCTTGTTATATTACAAGTAATTTCTTCAGCTTAATTTTTCAGATTTTTTTATTTCAGTTTTTTTTCCACTGACTATATTGTAGCGCAATGTGTAAGGGTCGTTCGAAGTTTTTAAGCTGAACTTCGCCTCTTTGTAAAATTGTGTCGTGCATTGAAGTAATAAGACCAATTAGCTTGCCGCAATTCAGTTCGGAGTGATTTTGTAGTGCGGGATAATTTTCCACGGGTAAATAATGCGCCTCGCACTTTCAGCTCAAATTATAAAACGAGCAGCTTGTGCGAGACTCGTGTTGGGTTAGTATAGCGGTGTGCAAACTTGGTGAGGCCCTTGAAAATCGCGGATTGATACCCGAGACTAAAAAATTCTTTTGAAAACCAACGAAAAGATTTAAAACTGTGTAAAACTGCCTCTCGCAAAAAGTTTGTTTGCTAAAAATTTCTGCACTTTTTTAAGAAATAGTAAGAACTTGAACTATGTTTAGTTTCCGCCTCTGCCTATAAGTGGAAGTGGAAAAAAGAATCACGAGGCGAGGAGCAGAGTAGCCTCAAAGATCATTGACGATTGCTCCATCGACTGCGAAGTGCTGTCTCAGTAAGAACAGAAACTGCTATTTTAAAATAATTGACTAGTCATTCGAAAGAATTAATTTAGTGAACGTCGAAAACCTCGCAATTGGCATCAAAATTTGATGCACTAAAACAATTAGTCGGTTTTTTCATCTTCTCAACACTCATATTAGGGCTTTTCGCTGATAAAACTTAATTACTTGTTCCATCAAAGGGTACTCTTGGATACGGTGCATTTGTAGGTACCTGTGTATCTTGTGTTGTCACCCTCGCTTCTGCTCCTCAGAGTTTCTGAAGTCCTTCCTCACAGCTCCTCACCCAATCACCCTTCCCTCCCATATGCCCTCCAGTCTGCCCACACAGTGCAAGTACAAGCTACCCTCCACAAGTGTGAGTCAACAGAGTTTTTTCTACTTCTATGAGTCACTGAGTGCTGGAATTAGTACGATGTGTAGGAGCCCTAGACCCTAAGGAAAATGTGGTCTTTTAAAATCGAAAACAATCAGCAGATTTACTGAAGCTCACTCGCTGGACTCTATAAACTCGCTGGATGCATTTTTGAAATCTCATAACCTATGTGAGAAAAATATGCCATTTTATTGAGAGCTCAGTGAGATTATTTTTTTGGTTTTGTATTTATACTCGGGGGAAAAATTGTCAAACCCTTTGCTAATGAAGTTGCACTGTTACTTGAAAGGATTCCTATTGTAAGAAAACCGCTCCTATCAGGGCAAAGCCCTGATTGTTCCGACTGCCATTTGATTGGTCTTGAATAGTTTTTGGTAAATTAGATTTTGTACCCATGTAGATCAAGAGACAGATCCCCGAAAGGCTAGATTTTAATAAAATTGATTTTGTAAAGTTCTTAATGGTCGGAACAACAACGGATACTTTTCTTAGACAAATGAAAAAATAACTGAAGCATTAATTTACCAATAAGACTGAAAGGGTCCCCCTTACCGTTTTTATTTCAAATTAAGAGAAACGTCTGTTTTCGGCACGAACTGGTATACTTTCGGCGTTTTTCGGCTGAGTCGAAACTTACGATTCCTGCTTGATATATAATCAAGACTGCTCGTATATCAATACTGCTCGCAAAGACCTATATGTTCCGACTGTACCTTAATTCAGATCAAATTGTTTTTGGGTAAAAAAAATATTGAAAACCTATAAATTTTGGTCAATATCGAAGGGTAAAATTTTGAGTCGTGCAAGATTAATATGACCACTTATCTAGCCTCAATTCAATTTGGAACGATTTTTTTTCATGTGATAAATTGTCACGCATAAATGATTCGCGTTACGCTCTCAGCATTATGAATAAACTCTTCGAAGCGCGCATAGTTTAGTCCACAACATGGCCAATTTGGCAATTTTCAAACCCCCACAACTTAACTAAAATTATCGGAGTTGAAATATTTTTTTAAAAATTGAACTCAAGAAGTCGCTATCTTCAATGGGGTATAAAAATTTTTCTTGAAAATTATTATTTCGATCGGCCAAAATTGGCTGAATAAAAAAACCGCAACAATCATATTCTCGCTTTCTTTGAAAGTCGGAAAAATAAGCTTTGTTCATAAAATCGAGCTTTAGCGAGCGTAGTATAATAGTACGACTATTCTTTTTCCAACCTAAGTCGCAACCCTAATTCGCTTTACGGCTTTTTGATAGAATGTGCTTTGCATTCGATAAGTAATAACTTGACACAGTTATGCATCTGTAAATTTATTAAATGAACCGAAAAAAGGTATTTGTTTCAAACAACAGTACAATAATAAATACTTTACTTAAGAAATTTTCCATCTCAATTTATCTCACAATGTTTGGAAATGCATAATTTATTCATAATTTGGTTTTATGCTTTCTAATTTACATGGGAGGCATTCATTTTGTTATATTTATTCATAATTTGGCTTTGTGCTTTCTAATTTATATGGAGGCCTCAGTTTGTTATATTTACGCTAGCGAGCAGCTAGTGTTTTAGTACGAAATTTCTTTTTTTTCTGACCTAGTCGCAATAAAAGCGTTCACTTGTGTGCCTTTTTTGCTATAATCACGATCTGTAGCAGTGGAAATTTCATAGCATCTGTTCTCGGCCTTATTTGTGGCTGTTGATTGTGATGGACTAAGCATCCATGGCTGCGTGGTTAGTGCGTGAGACTCATCGTTTCTGCAGTAGGTACGAGTCCGAGACGTTTCCGAATTTTTACTAATTCTGTTTACTTTTTTATTGCACTTCTCTAGAGCTGCTGTCGTGTTCTGGCTAATGTTTGCGTACCG